CAGGACGGGAACGGAGAATATTGTCAGGAACGTGGTTCATAGTGTATTTTTCAGTTCAAATATCCTTTGCACATCCCTCCCTTCCGGGCAGTGTGCATCACCAGTGCCCGTCCGGATAGTTTCCCCAGAGCCACCTTCCGGCCGGCGGGGGTGCTCAGGCCATCTCCTGCCGACGCGGGTGATCACCAGCGACGCAGAATGCAGGCCGAAAATCACCTCCTCTGTGTGCGAAGGTTGCATTTTTGGGGGGCAAAGTCTCTCTCAACCTATGGGCTAGACATGAACATCACCTTTGGCTTCACTCTCTGTTCTCCCCTGCCAACGAATGGCTGGTGCAGGTGTGTGTGTAAGTCGGACACGGACCTCACCAGTTTCCTTTGCGGTGGCACGAGCAACTTGTTGATATGCTCTGAGCAAAAGACGAAAGGGTGGAGATCGCCGTTGCGACTGTGCACGGTGCATCCGAGAGAGCTCGGAGAACCAGGTCAAGGAAGCAACACGCCACGGGCTCTTGTCAAGGGTACCGAGAGATAATATGAGATTGTTGGCGGTGACAGCAGTTTCCTGTCTTCATTTTTTTGATGTCAAGGATCGGCTGTCTTCACCTTTGCGCAAGGATCTGTCGACCGAAGGATTCAAACGATGTCATTCGGCCATCTTTCTTTTTCTCCTTCTAGCTTTTTACTGTTGGTGTACCTCGACATTCCATCTACTTCGTCCTTGGCTACTAGGGTGTTTCTTTGACAGTTCGAGACCCCAACGAAACTCGATGACGCTGAACTTGCTGAACATGCAACGCCCCCTCAGACAGCCGGGATCGGGATGATGCCTGCGGCTCACTTGCGGCTCCCCTCGCCACCTCCTTCACGTGTGCTCCGCATGCGGGTGTCTGAGAAAACCATCCGTGCGTCTCGCTTCCAAGAAGATATCGCATTTTTCCGAAGGTATCGCTTAAATCGCGAAGAGTTGGACCTAGTTGATTAGCACCACGGCCGGAGACATGACGGAGCAGGGTAGGAAATGGCCCGCCTAATAGACTGTCTAGAACTGGAGTCCGGCGTCCCACTGAGGGTCGTCCCAGTGGGGATCAAATGCACCTGGTCGGTCTCGGGGCTAGCACCCCACTGAAAGTTGCCTTTCCCCTTTCCTTCTCTCTATCGCTGTCATGGATCAAACTGAAGGGATGGCTCTCCTTGGCCGCGAGCGCAGGTGCCATCCCCAAACCGTTGGGTTCTAGCACCGCCAAAGAAAGAATTTAGCAGCAAGTGGGCTAGCGTTAGCGAGGAGACCTGGGATCATGGCCGTGTTCTAACACTTTGACAGCCATGAAAGAGGATTAAAGATCGATACGGCCGAAAGGTCTCTACTAGCACAAGCCACAGCCAAGAGAGGGCACGGATGAACGAGCCAACATGGAGGATTTTACGAACAGGTGCTCCTGAGGAGGGAGGAAACTGCGTGAGGGGTGGAGAGAAAGGGCGAAGGAAGGAGATCCCCCACTTGTTCGCTTGTACCCACAGGAAGGATCAACCCAACCCAACCCAATTCCACTTGACAGGTCTCGTAAAATGGGGAGTCCGAACTTGGGGTTAACACCGATGAGTCCACTATGGCCAGAGTGGACTTCAAGTTCTGATAGTTCCCCCTACCCGAAGCGAGTGTCGCTCCCCTGCCGAGCACACTCTGAGAGCCCTTCCCTCCCTAAAAATACAGATCAATGAGGGCTCTACTGGAATTATCCCCTTTGGACATCAAATGGATCCATAGATCTTATTTGCATTTTATCTACATTCTATTCCGGTCAAAGGCTGGCCGCGTTCAACGTCTTCAATTTATGCCTTCTTCACCTGTCACCCGCACCTGCATTCTTTGCATCAGTGATCCTTTCTCAATCCTTTTCCGGTGGGGTGTGGGGTGGCCTGTTTTCGTTGACATCCATGTGTTGTCTACTGAAATGCTATCGGAGATGTTTGAGTGACAGGATTCGCTCGTGTCAGCCTCCGCAATTCAAAGAGTTCATCCGTGCACGCAGGGTTCTACAAGTACGATGTCGTTGCCAAGTTTGGCCTGCGTGCGTCCCTGGTCACTCCCGATTTGTCACAGAGAGCTCAAAGTGGCTATTGATTTGAGAAACGCCAGAAGACAGGCGCCTCTTTAGGCCACATCCACTGATCCAGGGGTGGATGGTTCGCTAGAGGAAGGATTCCCGCTAGAGGGTAGTTGATCGTGGGACCAGGTTCAGCGAACATTCGCCGGTCATCAACCCCTCCCAGGAGGATCGCGCTCGACGACGCTAGAATTTCATTCCTGGCAGCCGCACGGGCCGCTCTTTTTGAGTGCCGTGTTGTTCGCCTCCTCCTCTCACGTCAAAGGAACAGGAGGTGTGTGTTGATGATGCCAACCCCCTCGCCGTGAGATTCATCGATGGAGATGCAATGTATACCATCGGTGTCAACCAAACTCGGCCCATTTGTTGTCGTATCAATCGTCGGAGGAAATGTGAACGGGGTTATCAAATGTGCCAGTCCAGCCTGGATGCGCTCACATTCCCGGTCTAGATTCGTCCGTTCTGCCGTGCCGGGGCAGACATGGGCCTATGTGAACCCTTTTTTTCCTTTTCTCCATCTCCGTCTATCTCTGTCTCTGTCTTGAATATTTTTCTTGAATATTTTAATTTCCCTCGACCTGAGTCAAGATGACATCCCGTCTTTCGCGATACCAACCATTGTTAATCAGAAAGCGGTGACTCTGACATGTTTGTAGGTCTGATCATTTGATGCGTCGTCCAGGAAGCCGCAGGAAGAGCGGTGATCAATTAGTCAATTGGCCAAAGGAAGCAGCGGATATCCTTGCAAAGCGACAAGTCCATTATCGGGGTAATATTACATAGGTGTGCAGCTGGATGCTGGGTGCTGTGCTGTTGCTGGTGAGAGGCTGAAATTTGTGGAATGTGGGGTCAGCCACTGCTGCACCGACAAAGCTCAATTGGGGTCCCAAAAACTGGCCGCCACTCGAGAAAACCAACATTGAGGCACGGGTCACTGCTGTACAGGGATGGACGAGCCAGCCATTTCTCGGTACAGGACGCAACCCACCCTCCCGTCTGCAGGTGGGCAGGGTGGGATAATAACAAGCCCAGCTATACCTCCACGCCTGCAGATTACGACTTCCCAGAACCTGGGTCATGGCGGTCCTTCCCGCATTTTTATCCAACCACCGATGAGCCATTGTCTGGCCTATCCAGTGGACGGAAGAAAAAGAATCCTCCAATCACGAGCTGCTACCAGAGTCGCAGGAACGACAACATGCCTTGAGTGTGCTGATAATGGTGCCAACATCAGACTAACACGACGGTTTGTATTGAATTTCTCAATGAACGGGACCGAGGGTGAAAAAAGAGAAAAAGGAAATCCAATATTGGGGAAAGGGAAATTCCACTCTTTGGATACCCGCCGTCGATCCCTTTTCCAAGTCTGGCGCGATGCAACATGCGGGCACTATGGGTGGGTACGGGTTGTCGATTTGGCCCAGGCACGACGTGCAAGAGGAGAAATCCTCACCCTCCCCGCAAGCCATTGGCTCTTTGTGTCATTGTACATCGTGCAGCGCTGCACGAAACTCGACGGACTCGCGCCAGGGTCCGAACAAGAAGACGAAATCGGTGCGGCCGACATTTGACCTGATAACTAGAGGGAGAGAGAGAGAGAGAGAGAGCCTAGCTCCAAATTTGTTACCTCTCAATGGTACAAGTAGTTGCCAATGGCGGGGTGCCAAGATGCCAATCGTTCCTCCCGGCGCTGACACTACTGGCTTAGGAGGCATTAGCATAGAAGGAAAAGTTCCCTTCCCCTGCCGGCTTCCGCTGACTACAAGTATTGGCTTGAGCTTTGGGCTTGAGAGTCAAGAACACTTCTGGCACTGGCAATGGCTGGCCAGCCCAGCCCGGAGCAAAATTGGCTCCGTCAATCCAATGTACCCCCATCATCGGGACAGTGGCGAGTTTAGTGTCCTTTTCGAAGCATTTTGGGTCTGGCTACCTCGCAATGCCATGGTCGCCGCTAATCCTTTCCCGGTTAACTTCCCACATCAGCGAGGCTCCACCCAGAGCGCTCAGAGCGGCCAGAGCGGCCGTCGCTGTCGAGTAACTGTTTCGAGGAACGGCTGTCCTCTCGAATACCGTCGATGCATTGATATTGACGCTAGCCTCTCCTCTTTTCGAAAGAAAATTCAATTCAGAACCCTCTCCTCCCCCCCACCCCCTCCATACAAGAACCCTAGCACCCCTCTAGAAGCCCGCTCGGTTCCCTTGCCTCCCTTCCCCATCTGGGGTAGGTTAGACCAAGGGGGCGTTCAGGCTCGCTGACCATCCGTGCGCTAGCAAAATCTTGTTCTCTAGGTTGTGTTCGCTTCGATGTTCTGGTGGTTCGATGGAGGGAAAGCGCGAGGAGAAGAGGAGGGAGGGGGCGTCGTCCCGGAGCCTTGACGTTGTGGCCGACCGACTTGGACGGTTGAGCGCCAAAAGTGGCTCCCAAAAACCCATGCGAAGTGTGCCATTGACGCACAGGCTTTGGGAAACTCGAGGTTGCGCTTGGGCGTTCTCGCGGGTTTTCTTGGTCTGACCAGACTTTTCGAACCTTCAGCTTTGGTCTCGCGACCACGGAGGAAAAATCGATATAATCTCTCCGCCGTCCCCCATCTTCTTGTCTGCTCTTGGCCTTCTTATCGTCGCCATCGTCGCCCTCGCAGGACAAGTAAAGAATCCAAGCTGCTCGTCGCTCTCGCTGCACTTTGAGTGTTTTCCTCTCGCTGGCACGATCACGAGTCTCGTCCTCGAACACTCATCGACGTCGTCCATCCCGCCCACTCTCTTCTTCCCCACTCGCTCTCTTTCTCTCTCTATCTCTCTCTCTCTTTACCTCGAAGTAGGCTTGAGAGATTTCGAGCCACTCGATCTCGCCTCGTCGTCCGCTCTTGCGAATTTGACCGCTCTAACCGTCGCCATGGCCGACAACGCTGCCGCTCCTGAGCTCCCTCCCGGTTGGGATGCCGACCACTCCGGGATCTCCATCTTCGTCGTCGTTTTCTGTCTTTTCGTTTCCACTGTCATGGTTGGCCTTCGAGTCTACACCAGGAGGGTAATCATCAACCAGATGGGTATTGATGACTGGGCAGCTATTGTCACCTTGGTAAGTGCGCGCGCTCGTGGCCCTCGCGTAGAGCCGGACCGACGGCCGGGCCGCCTCCCGATTAGGATGAAAGCAGTTGACTGACCCGGAATTTCCACCCTCCAGTTATTGGTCTACGGCGATGGTATCACCATTGCGATCAGTAAGTTTCCTTCCCGCCGAGTTTGATTCTGGGGGTGGGTCGAAGGATCATGAATTAACCCCATCCTCGCAGCTACCCAGTACGGCCTTGGCAAGCACATTTATGCTATTGACCCAACGTTGATTCCGGGCTACCTCAAGGTTAGTGCTTTTTTTCTGTCCTTTTTTGGTCCTCTTGGCTTGATCGCCTGGTTGCTGGCCTCAACACCGTCAGTACCGGCGACTCTGAAGGCGTCGTTTCAGCCGCCCATGGTGTTCGACATGTTGATCTCAAGTCGCTAACATTGCATTTTTCTAAACAGTGCTTCTGGGTCAGCATCGTGCTTTACTGTGCGGGCCTGCTTGCCGCCAAGCTCACCCTGCTGTTCCAGTACTACCGCATCATGGCCGTCCAGCACATGCGCAAGATCTACATCGCCGCCATCGTCATCGTCACCGCCTGGGGTCTGTCTCAGCTCCTCATCGGCCTTCTCATGTGCCGCCCGATCCAGGGCTTCTGGGACGCGTCCGTCGAGGCCAAGTGCATCCCCAACTACCCCCAGTTCTACATCAACGCCGCCGGCAACATCGCCACCGACATTGCCGTCTTCTTGCTCCCCCTCCCCGTCATCAAGCATCTCAACCTGCCCCGCACCCAGCGCCTGATCTTGTTCGGTATCTTCTCTCTCGGTTTCTTCACCGTCGCCATCTCCGTCATCCGCATCAAGTATCTCAAGGTCGCCGAGGACATGACCTGGGAGAACGTCGAGTCCTCTGGCTGGTCCCTCGGTGAGCTCACCTCCGCGCTCACCTGCGCGTGCCTGCCCACTCTTCGACCCCTCGTCTCGCGCTTCATCCCCGCCCTCGCCACCGCTCCTCAGCGCTCCACCATGGGCTACAAGAAGAGCACCAACAACATCGACCTCGAGTCCCGCCACACCCACCGCAAGAACACCTCCGTCGGCGGCTCCGTCGACGACAAGAACGGCGACCGCTACAACGTCCACCTCACCGAAAGCAAGGCGGAGACCGATGATGAGACGGGTAAGTGGAGATGAAGAAAAATGCGAGAAACAGAGGGAGGGGAGGGGCAAGATGCGAGAAGTAAAAGCCATGGCAAGATGCTATGCGCCCTTCTCTATTCTTCCCCTCTTTCCATAGCTTTGCTGGATTATGGTGTATGTTTGTGTGCTTTCCTGCCGTTTGAAAAACCTGTGCTGTGCCTGTGTAACATGGACTGTCCGTGTGTTCAAACGCCACGATGCCTACCAAACCATGCCACCGCCGCATTGCTTTCCCTCCCCTCCCCCTCTGTCGCTTTATTTGTGGCTGTTTATCGCCGCGTGCTTTTTGCTGCTTTTCAGCGAGATTTTCCGTACTAACGTACTTTTGCCAGGCAAGCCCTCTTCTCTCGATGAGCGTCGCCTCCTCGGTCTCGCCAGCCGCACCCACACCGAGATCCACGGCACTAGCCGCGGCCTCGACCGCCCTTCCAACGCCCCTCTGGCCATCCAAGTGCAGAGGACGTGTACCAGACCAAGTCCTGAGGGGCGGTGCCGTAATAAATACAGCCTTGCTCGCGCTGCTCACTCGAGCGGGCGAACCGGGCAAAATGTCTGCATGAGGCGCGAAACGGCGGTCAGGCGTGGAAAGCGAGGTCTCAGGCGCCCCGGTTTTGTTGTGTTTTTTCTTTCCCCCAATTTCTCCATCACCATGTTTTTCGTAGTATCTTTTTCTTTCTCCGGGCATTTGGAGCCTCTTATAGGCTCTCAAACCATGTTGTATCTTTATAGGAATGGATTGGAGGTTGGCCTCGGAAAAGGGTCGGGAGAGATATCCAGAAATCAACGATGTAAGATCGAGTTGATCATTAACGGCCGCTCTTATTATACCCCCAAACGATCGAAATTCATAATTCAGCGTTATTTTGAACCAGGCTTCGGCCACCTTCCACAACCGGCTGTCCTTGCGAATTTATCTTTTTTGTCCCCCTGGCTGCCCACCGTGCTCTTGAAGGATGAAGGAAGGGACATCAGACAAGGTTTTTGTGCCGGCGGGAGGAGCAGAAAAACGAGGGCGTACGGCTCAGTCCCGGCCCTGCAACTCAGAGGCTGACTTGTTGGACGAGCTGCCGTCAGTCTCCCTTTTTTTGAAGGGGGGCGCTGTTGACACTGGATCCGGGCGCAAGAGTTGGCGCCCTGACAGCGACAGCGAGAGTGACACTGGCACCGGACGCCGCGTTCCCCAAGCGGCTAGCGTTCCCTGTACGCGGCTGGAATCGGGGGAGCCGCAACGGCGCCGACAACGTCACACTGTGTAAGCGGGCGCGGGCGGCGACGAACATGCCTCGTAGTTTGATTACATTGTTCGCTTGTACAACCTTTTAGCCCCTTTTAGAGTGTGCGTTGATTTCTACTCCGCACGGAGTGCATGGAGCAAGTCAAGTACTGGAAGTACTCGAGGCAGTACATGCAATTAGACCAACGACTTGTCCTGCTTGCTCGCTTTCCGTTGCCCTAAGCGGAAGTGCCCCCCGTCAGACCAAAGTGCTCGCTGCTCCCCTGTGGATCATATTTGATCGTAATATGGGATAAGTTGTATTATTATTCCTTGATGAAGGAGCGGGGCAATTCTTGTCTAGTTTTTGTTCCTTTCACCTTCCTCCCGCAATTACCCTTGTTTAACAAGGAGGAGAGATGTCTAGTGTTAGTGTTAGTCTCGGAAGCGGCACAAGAGAGAAACGTAGTAAAAAGGCGGGCTTGTCACAAGGATGTGAAGGGCAGGCGGAGATTTACACAACCAAGTGCGTTTCTCCTCTGCTGTCAGAGTCTCAATAGTGGACGGGGCGGCCAGGCAGAAGTGGACACTGGTGTGGGATATGATTATTCTCCTTGGTGCAAGTGCCGTGCCGAGGCCTGTGCCGGGGGCCTTTTTCTTCTTGTCATCGGGTTTATCGAGCATCTGATGCCGCCGCAGAGTGAAGATTCTAATAAGTCAAGGTCGTTGGCTGCGAGTATCAACCGAGAACTGCCCGCGTCATCCTCCTCTCCCACCCCTGCACCGGACGTCGTGCATCCCCTGTTCAAGCAGCCGCAATCATTTTCGTGATACTACCCTTTTCCATTCTCTACCTCATGGCTGCGCGAGAGGGCGCAGGATACGAGCCCCTCAATGACAGAGATGGCATCCGACTAGACACATGGGGGACCAGGCGGGGAAGGGCTTGTGAGCCGCATAACATTGGCAAGGCGACGAACCAAAAGTTGAGCCCTGGAGCGCTGGCACGAATCTAGTCATCGTGACAGCTGCACCTCTTGACCGATCGACATGGGATATGGGCGCATTGCGGATTTTCCGGCGCATTGGTTTCCCCCACCCTTTCCTCTTCCTTCGCTGTTACCCTCCCTTTTCTCCCCCACCATTCATTCTCCAAGTCGCCAAGAAACCTTCAAGGGCCCCCGGCTCGGATATCTTCAATTTTGCCAAGGCGCTCCCGTGAAGAAGTGTATCGCCGGCACCCGGCGGGCTTCAAAGGCTCCCCTCTCTATTCACCAGGTTCGCACAGGCCCAATATTGGCTGGATGCGGTATCCCGCGTATCTCTTGGCCAGGGTTCATGCGTCAATGTGCACTCTTTTTGAGTTTGCCTGTCAGCCACGAGGGACGGACACGAGGGCGTCAGGTCCCTAGGGTCTCTTGTTCGTTGGATCGCCAGGGCCCGGTTCGTCTGTCTGTCCCCCAGCATTGGACAATCTTTATCGGCGAAAGGGAGGGCGAGGCCCTGTCTGCCTCGGGTTGATCGTACACCCCGAGTCCAAGCAAGTCTTGAAGTCGGGAAGGTCCCAATGGGGGAAATATTGAGCCTTGCGAGGGTTTGATCCAAAAGTCAACGGGAGATTGAAACCTGCTCCCGCTAAAAATGCAAAGAAATCCTGGCAGGCTCAAAGGTACTGTAGCAGCTTGAGAGCTTCGTGTAATCAAGCCGCCAATGGGGTCAGGGGCCTGTTGGCCCCGGAGGCGAAAAACGCTGGGGACGGACTGATGAGGATGGAGAAAAAATATTGAATGCAATGGATCATATTGATGTCGGATTCAGCAGACGAATGCAAACGCTCGATCCGGGCGGAGTGTGTGTGCTGGCTCCAGGGTTCCTCGCTCCCGCTGTGGGCCGAGGCCTCGTGGCCTCTGTTTAACCACGACCCTCCTCCCCGTTTTCCCGAAAAAGTCTAATATGGCTGTTCTCGACTCGGGGAGCATTGTCCTATGGGCTGATATTCGCGAGCCGTCCCCTTCGCGTGGTCACCCGCTTCACTAGGGGCATCGCCGCAAAACCTTTCACCGTCCTAATCCTACACCAGCATGTCCGCCACATTTGTGTTGTTTTCTTCTCGTGCTCTCTTTCTGCTCTCTTCCCCTCACCGTGCCGAGAATGCCGGGTTTCGGTCAGCGCCCAGCTGCATCACAGAGGCAATAGTAGAAGTCACGCTGCATCGTAGAAGGTAATAATTGCGCCCGCCACGAGGCGGCGCGGGGAATATTGAAGTGGGCAAGAGAAGAATAGGAAAGACAAAGAAAAGGATCACAACGAGGAGGGGTGATCCATGCCCGGAGGACGTCGTCCGGAGCCGCAGTAGTGAGGTGCTGTGATGTCGACGAGAGCTGAGCCAGCGAGCCAAAAAACGGAATTGAAGTCAAGAAGCCATCAGCTAAGAAAAAGAGGGGTTCTTGCATGGCATGCATGTGCGAGTGTATACTCGAAGAACTTGGAAGCAGGTCAGAGCTGACCTGGTGACCCTGCCCCCACGTGTGTAAGTGTCGGCGGCTCTGCCTGTCATTGACGACGACGAACGACGACGACGACGATGGGTGCATGTGCGGAATTTGCTCGTCGTCCAGCTGGCGCAGGCAGATGCGTTGGAGAAATTATCGGGCCAGTGTTGGCGCATGCGGCGCCGCGGCCTGCTTCCTGCGCCGTTCGGATCCTCGTCGCCGTAGCGGGGCTGCAGGAGACCGACCGATGACAGGTCAAAGGAGCGTCAAGGGGACTCGAGAACGCCCGCTGCTGCAAGCCTCCGGTCAGTCGCGTCCACCCCGATTTTCTCTCTCGCAGTTGCAGTTGGCAGGCGAGGCTAAAGAACCAAAAACTTGTTCCAACGTGGGGTCGGTCAAGGAATGGCTTCGTTCGTAGTCTTGGCCAAGGCCGAGTTTTCCATTTTCTTGTGCTTTCTCTTCCCCTCCTCCCACCCGCGCGCTGCGGGATTCCATTGCTTCCCCAATATTCTCCCAAGGGTACGATGCCGGGAGCGCCAGGAGCATGAGCTTGGCCAGATTCGACGGGGGAGGGGCCAAATCCAGCAAGTTGGATTAAAATCTATGGCCACCCTGGACTAGTGGGAAACATCCACGCGCCGTGCGCATTTCACTAGGGTTGCTTCTTCATCACTCGACCTCCTCTCGGATGGGTTAGCGGCATGGGGGAGTGACCAAAGGTGGACGAGGCTAATCCAAGGGCTCCTAAGTTTGCCTAGCTCTTATTTGGAAGCTGAGAGTCGAGGCGGCTCGATGATGCTGTCGACCGTTGGCGCAAGACTAAAAACGAAAAAGAAAAAGAGCACCGAGCTTTCCGCCAACATGCAAATCTCCAAAGACAGAAGTGAGATGATTGATACGAACGCTAGCCGTGAAGAGCCCGGTCTGGGGCGTTCTCACCCTTGTGTCGTGATATGATATCGTCATACCTCGCGACCTAAGAGCAAATAGATTGGATTTGAGGTTGCATCTCCCCTCTTAGCCTCATTTCAATATTACTCGCTCTGAATTCTGCCCTTTCTGGAAAGGGGCAACGATGGGGAACTGACCTGACGTGCAGCGAGGAATGGATTGATGCGATGCATCAGTTACCTGAGTGGAGATTTTCGATGGATCAATGCGATCCATCTGGGTGTCCACTGGGAACCCGGATCAGTTGACTTGGGATTGTCCTTGTACATCTGCTGTAACATCAGCATTCATGATTGTTGGTTCTGGGAGTCCTCGAGCCAATCCAAAAACACGACTGTAACGACGGGGTTCAACCCACCCCTGCCTGCCCAGGCCCCCGATCTCCCTCCGTCTCGCCATTGCCATGCCATCGCCAGTGCCATTGCCATGCCCTCCCCACGTAAGAAGGCGCAGCGAGCAATGAGCCGCAAGAGACGTCAAGGGAGCTTGGTGTGCATCAAGTGGCGGATGGTTGTCCCAAGGTTCGAATTTTTCCAGCGTAAGCCGCTGGCATATTTCTTTTTGAATCATGGTCTTACACATGCCGTAGATGCATGCGCATGTTGGTTGGTTCACGCATCTCATGCTGGTGTCTTGGGGAGTTACATTGCCCTCTCTTGTCCTGTCTTGCGCCCTATGTATGTACCTCGATTGATCTGATTTAGCAGTGCATCCGAACAATCTATACACTCCATATGGGATGTGGACAAAGCACAACTTATCAAAAGAGGCACTGACTCGGGGAGTCTGTTGGCTCAATACCTGCATACCTCCCAGGCCCCTGTTCCTGGGCCAGAACGGGCCTGTCCACGACGGGAGCGTAGAGGTTAATGAATCGATTGCTCAATTGGTGGTTCTGAATGGCTGGCCGAACGAAAGACCCCCTGGCGAAACAGCCGTGCCATCAATCCCTTTCCCCGTCCGGTCGCTGGAATAGCCTATTTTTGCGAACTCGTCCGTCTCCCCGCGCACAGCCTGGCACATCAATCGACCAAATTCAATGGTACGGCTGCCCTTTCCGGTGCATCTGCAGAGCGCGTTCTTCGTTCAGAGGCGCCTTGTATTTTCCATTTTTATTCGCTCCTGTGCGCCACTCGCGTGTCTCGTGCAAGTGAAGGGAGATCGTTCGCTTGCATAACCCGCACTCTATCTTATACTAGGACGGTTATATGATCGTCCCTTCCGCATTTGCCTGTGCGTTCCTACCAGGAGCGGAATCAATAGTGCGAATGCGGACTGCGAGTAAATGAACTAAAAAGAAAAGTCGTAAAAATAAAATCAAACAAAAAAGCCGTTGAGCGCGAGGGCGAGGGCGAGGGCGAGAGAGTGTGTGTTCGTGTGCGTTTGTGCGGGGAGGTGCGATACAGCACGGCCACAGAAGGTCATTAGCGCTCCCCGTCGACGTGCCCAAATGTTCATGTTCCCTCACGACGCTTCAATGTTCCCTCAGTGCGCTCCCACGCGCTCCCTCTCGAACAGGAACCCGCGCCAACGTGGTGCAGCTCCCCGGTGATAGTTTGCCTTTCAGCCCCCAGCGTCGCCGCCAATGTGACCATCACGGCCACAGATTTCCGGCCGTGTACGCGGCATTCCTATCCGTTCCCTCTGTCGAAAAAAAAAGAGAAGGTGCCAGGGGGTGAACAAGGTGGTTGTGGCGCGGGGCGGGGAGGGAAGGGAAGGAACAGACAGGGACGAGGTGTGCTAAGTGCTCACGGACATACGCTGGTGGTCTTCTTAGCCGCTCTCTGATATTACCATTCTTATTACACCTCATCGCTAGAGTAGTGCCTCGAGGGACAAGGGTAATATGGAGTGGGGAAAAAAGGGCCTGCTTGTAATACAGTCTCTTGTCTTTTTTTCGTCCTTTGAGTTGCCGCAATTGTGCGGTTGGGACCGGCAGGGGGGGCGGCTGCTCTGCGGACTCGAGAATCGAACCAAAGTCCGAAGTCTGGTCGAATGCGCCCCTGCGGATATTAAATGGGCTCGTGAACCCCTTCGATTTTCTTTCTTCTCGACCTCTCTCCCCGTCTCCCACAGCCTTTCCTCCCCAGGTGTCCGACTCTTTCCCATCTGTCGTCATCCCGTTCAATAATAAAGAGGTCCCAAAGCCCGCATCCTGATTCCCGTCGGTTCTCGAATCGCGGCGCGCCTTGCTTCCCTCCTTCATTGAATCCTTCCCCTTCTGTGTGGTTCCTCCTCCTCATTCGCTCCTTCCCCTGAAGCTAGCAGACGCCATGGCCCTCCCAAAGTGGCTCGTTGCGGGCCTCTCACTGGCTACCGTCCTCCTCAGCGCCCCGGTCAATGGCCTGCCCGCTGTTCCTCGCGCCGAGGAGAGCGACGTGCCTGCCTTCCTCTTCATCGACCAGCTCATCGCCAACCTCACCGAGGCTGCCGAAGTCGCTGAGTCTACCACCAAGCGTGGCCTCACTTGCTCTGCTGCCAGCTCTCGCACCGTGAACCTTGGATATGCCAAGTATCAGGGCTATGCCGATAGTGCCTCTGGCTTGAATGTTTGGAAAGGGTAAGTTTTTCTTTTCTTTTTTTTTTTTTTTTGGCTCATCCATTTCTCCTTCCTCAAACCGCATTCTGCAATTACGCCTCCCAACCATGATTTCCTCAATCTGCGAGCCTTCCATTGCATTTTCCTCATGTTTTCTCCCGCTCGGTCTCGGACCTTAAAATTCCCCTTTGATTCAACGGAAACAAAATGGCTGACTAGCGCGTGCGCCGCCCTCGGCGATTTTTCCACCCGTCTTTTAGCATCCGCTATGCCCTCCCCCACCGGGGACCTCCGCTGGCAGGCGCCTTTGATGCCCCCTCTGAACCTAGCTGCTGCCGTCCAGCAGGCCAACACCCTCGGCCCTGCCTGCCCCCAGGCCTTGCCCTCCGGCCCCGGCATGCCCTTCATCCCCGGTGACGAGGACTGCCTCTTCCTCAACGTCTACGCTCCTTCCAACGCCCAGAACCTGCCCGTCCTCGTCTGGATCCACGGCGGTGGCTATGGCTTCGGTGATGGCAGCCAGGACATGACTGAGATCATCAACGCCAACAACAAGGGCTTCGTCGTCGTCTCCATCCAGTATCGTGTAAGTACTCGACGATCTCCTTCCCTGTAGATGCGATTCCTGCCCTCGTCCTATTAAGGGTAGAAAAGCGGCAAACAGGCGGCGAGGAAATTTTGTTCACTAACACGGTATTCTCCCTACTCTCTAGCTTGGTGCTTTCGGTTTCCTCGCTTCCCCGAGGTCCGCAGCAAGGGTGTCGTCAACGCCGGTCTCCTCGACCAGGCCCTTGCTCTCGCCTGGATCAAGATCTTCATCTGCCAGTTCGGCGGTGACCCGACCCGCGTAACCATCTCTGGCGAGTCCGCCGGCGCCTCTTCCGTCATGTACCAGGGCCTTGCCGTCGGCGGCGCCCTCGGCTCCCTCCTCTTCAACAACGCCATCGCCGCCTCCCCTACTTGCCCTTCCAGTACAAGTACGACGCCAGCTTCAACACCAAGAACTACTACTCCCTCTCCTCCAAGCTCGGCTGCGGCGCCTCCGGCAACGTCTTCAACTGCCTCAAGGGCAAGGCCACCATGGACCTCCAGCAGGCCAACTACGAGGTCACTCAGGAGCAGCCCTCCGGTTTCTGGGCCTACTACCCCGCCACCGACAACGCCTACATCACCACTCGCGCCACCCAGCAGCTCACCCAGAAGAAGGTCAACGGTGATCGCCTTCTCGTCAGCGTATGTATATTCCCTTGTCTCCCCCTCCCCCTTGCCATCGCTAACCTGAAATCTTTCCTCGTATAGAACGTCGCCAACGAGGGTCCCCTCTTCGTTCCCCACACCATCACCACCGAGGCCGACCTGAAGGCTTGGCTCGCCCTCGAGTTCCCCAACTTCACCACCGCCCAGATCAACTCCGTCCTCGCCGCCAACCCCAACTCCGCCGTTACCAGCGCCACCGGCCCTCGCTACGAGACCAACGGCGTCTCCGGTGCCAACCACCTCCAGGTCAGCGCCGACGCCAACGGCCAGCAGCAGCGCGGCAACGCCATCCTCGGCGAGAGCACCTTTGTCTGCCCTAGCTACTGGATGGCCGAGGCCTATACCGGCAACTCCAAGAAGGCCTACCACTACCAGATGAGCGTTCCCTTCTCCTCCCACGCTACCGACGTCGCCGTCATCTTCGGCCCCAGGCCCGAGAACGTCGGCGCTGACTACGCCCTTGCCGTCCAACGTAAGTTGATCATTCTTTTACCATCTTAACTAAGGTGTGTGGTCCTTTTTACTGACAATGTCACGACACAGGTATCTGGGGCAACTTCGTCACCGGCAGCAACCCCTCCATCACCAACGCCATCGCCAACGGCGCCTCTTCTTCCAGCCCTTCCGCGTCCAACCCCGCGTCCGCCTGGCCCGCCTGGACCGTCTCTAACCCTCAGCTGGTCAACCTCAACCAGACCGGAGGTGTCGCCTATACCGCCACTTCCCAGTGGGGCACCAGCGTCACCCAGTTCAAGGCTCCCGGCCAGCTTAACGCCATCTCTGCCAGCAACGCCGACACCTGGGAGGGTGGCCGTGGCACGAGGTGCGACTTCTGGCTCGGCATCTCCGCCAGCATCCCCTCTTAATCGCTCGACATCACGCCTTTTGTGGAGTTTGGAGCATTTCTTCATTTTCAAAGTAGTTTTTAACGAATTTTCCTTTTTCACTCTTATTAATAATTAGAAAAAAATTTGATGATGACTTTTTTCGTTGCCGATAAATTCGTGTGATACCCGTACCCTTGAATGTTCTCTGCCTGTCGTCAGCTCTTTGTTGCTTCTTCTAACTAGATCCCGTAACTGAACAAGTGGTGCCATCTCCTACATGTCTTCGAGGCGTCCTTTCCCACCATTCATCATTAATTAAGATGTGTGCCTTGGGAGGATTTAGTTATGAAGCTTGCTCTGATATTCTGTTTCCGAGCTGCCTTGAGTCGGCACCGCCGAGTCTCCGCCCCGTGGCTCAAGCATACCAGAACCAATGTTCTGAGCAGGTTTGGTCTATTACCCCTGATGATTCCACCCTTCTCCTTTCGGATCGCTCTACCGCATCACTGTTGAATCATAGATTCATACCTAAAAGTCATAATCCTACCCGCGCCTTCAACAATCTCTTATGGCCAGTGAATCCTAAAATTAGCATCCGTTTTACAATATATCGCTATGACGCAGAGAGGGACGGAGTCATCATCCTGTAACTCGGCCCATCCCTAAACATGGAACGTGAGTTGGAAAGTCAGTAATGACGCATTCAGGTCCTGCTATCCGGAGAATCGGAACTGGGCCGCATAGCACTGTCTTGACCAGTTAATCCAGGCCATCCATCCGTTTCTGCAACCACTCTGCTAGTCAGATATTGACCGACATGGGGCCTAAATACAACCCTGGCCTGTAAATTCTCCATGAACCCGACCATGCGGGATATCTCCTCGTCCGTCCTGTATCGCCCGCAGCCCCATACGGGCAAGACCTCCGGACATGGGGCCGGCAACTAACCTTTTGGGGTATTATTAGCTTGAATTACGGTCAATGCAGGCGTGGGAACTCGCAGGGAAGATTTTAACTTGTACGCTTTCGGCAGCCATCCAAGTGCACCGTACAGACTAAGTGTGGCCCGGTCGCCTTTGGCCTCCTGGAGAGGGCCGGTGCCGATCCGCCTTGGTTTCCGGGGCCAGTTTGACCTAGGATTCGTGCGAAAGATGTTGAAGAATGTGATGGATGTACGTAGACACTAGCTGGTAGCTCCCCTATTGAGGCAGTGTTCACAATGAGGGCTTTCTTTGGTTTTTCGGAGGACGCATGGGGTGCAGTCTCTTGATGCCGAGGGTCAAAAGGTAGGCAAAGCTATGCTGATTTCAGGACTCCAACTTGTGGAGCCTTCAATTCTTACAGTTCCCCTTTACCCTATTATAAGCTCGCATATGGTCTACATGGTCCGAATAGCCGCACCCGCCGATCATGCTCCAGATCCAGAGCGTCCCTATTCTATACCCCATCCGTCGTCCATTCCAGGCCAAACCGCCGCATCTGATATCAGTTCGGCGAGTTCCCCGTGGCGCAAGGTACTGTCACGGCGGAAGTCACGCTCCCGCTGCTGGCAGCGTGAAATCCGATCCAAATGTCGGAGAACACATTCACAGTCAACCAAACAAGCAGATATCGCAGACTAGCCAAGAAACCGCACCACCAGGTAGGCCGGCGGAAGGAAACCCCAAAAACGTCGTGGTACGTCCCGAGAATGTAGCAACGCTGTTAGAACGGATCATAGTGCTAGAGAAAGCACTCAAGGATAAACAGGGTTATTCGCTAGAAATCTCCTGGAAGAATCCAATATCCTGTGTTCCACCTTTAAAAGAGGGCGCGACCCGGGAAGATGTCCTACACTGGATTCTGGGGATCCGGCAAGGTAACGAGTGTGTACCAGGCGATCCTCCGCAGAATAAGTTGGAAAATGCAGCCGGTCCTACAGCGAGACTGGAGATGGCTACATGTAGTTACTGCAAAGGCAATCCGAAGTCCACCACTCAAACTGGGGAATGTCTCAATCCCCGACAGCGAGGCCTGAACAGGAAATCTCGAACCTACAGTATGAGGCTACGGTCGTATTCATACATAAGTGCATTCATTGTTTGTAATGGCCGAACCACCATTGGGGAAACATGACTATGCGTCTATGGTTGGAATCGTGCTTGCAGTGCGGAGCGGTGAATAGGCTTCTCGCTTTGCGTGCGGCCTTGATTACTCAACATTGAGCTGAACCAACTGTCCGATACATGGATGTAAGGATCGCTAGCTTTGATATCTTTTGGATTACAATAGAGCGCGCTCCCCGCCACGACCTGAATACGCCTCAGCTGAAGATGAAGCTGATAACCCCGATCCCGACCCCGACCATGCTCCAATCCGCATCTTCGAGCTTTCAATGCCGACTGCCTGGCGAGAATACCCTCCCGAAAGCGTGTGAGGGGTATCGAGGTAGACTTGCGCGCCTATGAGCATCGGCGATGCTTCAGCTTTTGCTAAGCCTAGAGTCTTTCATCCGATCGTCCCGCGCCCTCCGAGCCAATCTCAAGAGCGCCACGATCGAGGCCAATCCGCGGAAGCAACCTTGTTTCATCTGGGTGGGTGGGCGGCCCTGCCAATCATCTTGCGCACGGTCACCCGGACCATTGGGAAACGTTGGATCGGGTTTTCCTTGGGGGTGGCACTGCGCTAGCCGGCTTGCGAGGCGAATCGCGGGGATTACCCCTTTCTGCAACTTGTCCCGCCCAACGTCCAAATATTGGGCGCGGCTCATAGGAGGAAATTTTCTGGCCCCACGGATCCTTTATATTACGACGGAGACTGCGTCGCCGTTGGGGTGTTTCCACATCCCTGTACGTTGCCTTATACTGGTCAGATTCTCCACCAATTCTTCTAGAATCAGGCATCTTGACCTTGGCTCTCCCCACTGAGGAAGGCTTCAGGGCCCCTTCTAGTCGGGCAACAGCATGAGCGGAGAAAAAAAAAAAGTGCCTTGGAGAACACGAGCAGCGGAGATTAGGGGGCAAGACTAAGGCGTCCTTTGAAAGGAAGACCTTTTATTATAGATATAATAGAGCTCCCTCCAAGCTTCATCAATTTTCGTTCTCGTCGTCCGGTTGTTCTGAGCTGAATCCACCACCCACTCTCGCTTCTTTGTTCCCTTTCTCCTCGCTTTCAACTTTTCCCCTGGACTGGAATCCATCTTTCTCCACCTGTTTCTCCCGCAAGAACTTTTTTCACCTTCTCGGTTTTCCATTCTTCAAACATGCGTTTCACACCGCCGGCGGTCCTCCTCGCCCTTGCGGCTTCCGCTTCCGCCTTGGACCTTTCCAAGTCGTCCGACCTCGATGGCTCCGTGTGGGAAAACATGTCGCCCGCGAACCCCGTGGTAGCGAGCCGCTCGTCCAACAGGCCCACTAAGCGACAGTCGGGATGGAACCCCCTTCCAACCTTGCCACGCCTCTTAAGCAGGTGTGGGACCATTGCCTGGCGACTTATTCGAACGGGCTCTTTGGATTCAAGAACTACGGCTGGGATCAATTGATGGCCACGTCGGGGTGAGTTACTTGGGATAGTCCCGCGCAGGGCGCCTCAAATTGAGCGGTGGTTCGTTGAGAAGGGCATAGCACTAACTGTGAATCCGGTAGCTCGATCAACGTGTGCGTCCGATGGGAGTCCAGCACCGCCGTCACTGAGGCGCAGCGAACTCAAGTCGCCCAAACCATCAACAAGCAGTACCAAAAGTGGTTCCAGTATCTATACGGCTACGACGGCTTCCCCTTCAGCCAGGTCAAGGTCAACGTCGTCGGATGGGCCGTCAAGAACACCAACCTCCTCCAGGGTTCGACTTCCGGCATCGACGTCTACACGACTACCGACTCGGGCGGCATCCCCGAGTGCGATCCCCGCTGCGGACGCTTCTTCCACCAGGATAACAACTACGCTTCGTGCCCCGGAGGTGCCGCTCGACACTACGACAACTCCCTCTGGCTGACTGACGGCATGTCCGGCGGTGCTGGTGGTGACTGGGGCCAGAGGATCGGTCGCGAGTACTTCATGGGTGCCCTCACGACCGAAAACATCCATATTCTCCTGCACGAGATGGGCCACACCTATGGTCTCGATGATTGTAAGTTTTGCGTTTCCATCTCCCTTTGCTTTGGGCATGTAATATCTCCGTCTAGCAACAAATCAGCGGACGAGAAAGTTTTAGACTTAGCTAACACACGCCTTTCACTTCAGTCTATGACTGGACTCCCACCGGTATCTCCAACTTCATCATGCTCGCGGGCTCGTCCTCCCAAATCACCGAATTCGACTACTGGATGCTCCGAAACTGGTGGACCGAGCTGTCCCGCAACCGCGGCTGGCAAACCGGTACTTCCAACCCCACCCCGACCACCACCACCCGCGCCACCACCAGCACCACTACCACGTCGACCCGGGCTGCGACTACCACTGCCAGCTCCGGAGGAGGTAGCGGAACCGTTGCCCGGTGGGCCCAGTGCGGTGGAGTCGGTTACACCGGCGCCACCCAGTGCGTCTCGCCTTACACTTGCACAAAGCAGAATGACTGGTATTCCCAGTGCCTCTAAGCCTCGAATACGCGCCGGAAAGGGCACAGTGATACATTTTAAGGCTCATATCTGTGACAAGAGGGTGGTCACGTAGTTTTATCGCCTGAGGCTACAGCGTAGCAGATTTCTCTTCGATTTACATATCTTTTGTTCATGTGTTATTCAAATAGCTATTACCAGCATGTAAATACGTACAAGAAGTACATACTTTTAAAAGAACAACCTGACAAGTCCTTTCTTCAATCCGAAGCGCGTAAGATCCCTTCAACCGGATATGGTTACCAGGGTGCGTATAAGACTAGAATGAAGTTATTCAACATACTCCGTTTCTTACATCGCGGCATGGCGCAGATGCTTGCCTTGAACATACCCCTCTGCGGTATCCACGAATAGTTTTCTACCTTTGACGTAAGAGACGATGAGGCCAAAGAGCCTCCATGATCCGATATGCCCGGATGCTAGTTTCTTTCCGAGAGCAATAAACAACATCTTCTTTTCCATTGGCCGGTATGGCTCGATCGGTGTTTGTGTTAGGGCTGAATGTAGCGCTGCTGCCATGTGGATAATCTGGCCGTCTATGACAGTTAACTGCTTGGGTTCGGCGTTGCCTACGTCTCCGATGGCCCATAAATTCCGGGTGTTTTCCACTTTGAGGCTCTTGTCCACCTTGATGCTACCGGTAGGGTCGAGTAATTCATCTGGGATAAACGCCGAGTTGACTTTGGCGCCATGAAATGGTACGTACATATCCGCCTTGATAGTGGACCCATCGGTGAGGGTTACCTCAACCGGACCTGCGGGCGCTACTTCTTCGGTATTGGTGACCCTAACCCTAGTGAGAAGCCTAACACCCAACTTTTAAGGTCCCCGGCCACCACACTTCGGACGGACGCAAGGGCTCCCTCGAGCGGCTCGTCCCCACTAATGATGAGGGTGATGGTTTTCGACGATCCGTACAAGGCTGCCAGCTCCCCTGCAAATTCCACCCCTGTGGGGCCCGCTCCGGAAATGATGATAGATTTGGCATGTTCCACCTGCTCCCTCATTTTGTGCCACGCAGTAATCGTTGTCTCGTGACTGCCAAGTAGCTTGAACGGTGTGTTTCCGGCGAGTCGGGACCCGGTGGCGATAACGAGCTGATCGTAAGACAGCTTCAGCTCCGTCCCCCTTCGGTCGCTACGGTGACAGTACTCGCTTGCAGATCCACGTTTTCCGCCCTGCCGAGAATAAACTCAAAGTTCTCCTGTGCGTACCTCTCAAAGGCAGGTTGTATTGGGATGAAGACCTGATCATCGGGGATTTGTTTTGGCAAGATGGCGCGAGAAGCGGCAACGTTCCAGAAGAAGTGTGAATTTGGCGATACGAGAATGACTTTGAGTTTGGGGACCTTGGGTGTCGTGTACTTCAAGAGCTTGTGCGCCAAGGGAAGCCCGGCCCAGCCTGCACCAAGGATAACGACCGTCTTCTGCATTTTTCTCTGTTTTGTTGACTTTCGGGTAGATATGACACTAGATGTTGTTCAGTCACTTTCATTGGCATTTATTAGTTAAAGACCGACCGCTTATTATATCTGCTTCGCCGGCGCCCAGCGCTCCGGGCATCCATCACGGCCGACGCTAATGACCGATGACTAACAGAAAATACACCACTATAGGGCTGTCATGAGTGCGTATGCTTGTACATTTCGATAAGACCCACTTTCGCCCTTGTCTGGCTTGAGCACTTGGCCGAGCTCCGTGTCCGAAGGGGAACTCAGGGCCCCACGCCTCATTGCCCCAGCCGTTCACAAAGGCTTTCAGTTCCTCGGCTCTACATGTAGTGCCTGATACTTCAAACACACACAACCGTTCGCTTCCCCAGTACTTTGCTTCCATATCCCCTTCTCCGAACGCTGCAAGGCCTTGCTCTTTTCACATTAGTCAGCCTGCCCTTCTCGGTGTCGGCGATTCTTTCGCCGATCACCGATGACTGATGACCGACCACGCACAAACGAGACAAATGGAGCGACAGGGTGAAGACGCAGGAACGAGGGTTTCGCCTCCCCAGAGTGCCGAGAATGGGTTAAAAATATGGAGTTGCGTTATTTGCCGCCGGCGCAAGGTCAAGTGCGATAGGAGCGATCCTTGCGCGAACTGTGTCCGAGCCGGCATCGACTGCCACTTCCCGGTAACCGGCCGCATCCCCAAGCGCAGCCGCGACCCTGCAGCTTGGAGGACACCGGCTCAGAAACAAGCCGAGCTCATTAGCCGACTGCGTCGTCTCGAGACGGTGGTAACGGAGCTCACGGCGCAGGTCGAAGAAGAGACCGGTCGGCGGGTGACGCACGTGGAACCCGAGCCGCTGGACCCGTCATTGATGCCGCCAGAAGGGGAAAACTCGCTGGCTCCTTCTATACGGACGGAGGCAATGAATGAGGCATCGGGGGTCTTTCTACCGATACTGTTTCCAAAAAGAAAAGGCAGCCAGGAAGCGAGTTCGACGAGGATTTCGGGAGACTAGTGGTGGATAAAGATGGCGGCCTACATGTTGGAAACCGGTTTTGGACCGTATTCTGTGACGAGGTGAGTTAGATCTTGATTCAAACATATATTGTCACTGTGCCAATTCTGACCGTCTAGGTTGACAACATCCTTCAAGCGGTCCACGACGTCGCCGATTCTAGCAGCCAACCATCCTACACCCCGACGATCCAGGATAGTCTCAGCGAAGGCACCTCCTCTCGTAACGATGAGTTTATTTTCGGCATGCGCGATAGTGAGGAGAACCTCGATGCGTTAAATCCTTTACCGTCCCAAGTGCTTTTCATCTGGTCAATATTCACAGAAAACGTGGACCCGTTCATCAAAGTTCTCCATGTTCCAACGATTGACAGAATAGTACGCGATCTCAGCGGCGGGTTTAGTTCACTAGGCACCCCTTTCGAGGCTTTGATGTTCTCAATTTGCTTCGCATCGATCAATTCCATGGACGAGGTTTCCGTCTCGGCAAGCTTCGGCCAGACAAAGGCCGAGCTCATGGCACGATACAGGCTCGGGGCAGAGAAAGCGCTTGGCCGGGGAAAGCTTTTAACTACCAAGGATACCACGCTATTTCAAGCGTCTGTAATCTACGTCTCCGTCCTCCCCTACATTGGGGACGCTGGTCCCGCGTGGTCGTTACTAGGTCTTCTCTTCCGGATTGCGCAGTCGATGGGGTTGCATAGGGCCGACGACGGAGTCAAGCGGACACCCATTGAATCTGAAATCTGCCGGCGACTATGGTGGCAGATTTGCTTGCTTGATTCCAAGCTCCAGAGGCCAGGGGTCACTGCTCTCTCCCCACCGAGCGTGTCCTTTGATCATCTCCCACCAGCATTTGTCAGTGACGTGGAGCTAGATGCTATCTCTGGCTTGCCGTCAACGACAAGACAGTGTAGGAACGATATAGCGGCGTTACTTATCCGGTGCGAGCTATGGCAACTCGTACGGGCCATGCAGAGAGCACCCCAAAATCACGAGGCGCGGACCTCCCTTCTTTCCGCCACCGAAACCAAAATCCTAAGTCACCATCTTCCGTTGTTGGATTCTGGGGCAGTTTAGCCAACTATCTCAGGACCTTGGTATCTCTATTCTTCGCAAAGACCCGAATTTCCATCCACGAGTCCCCCGACGACAAGCAAGTACGGGATCGCCGGACCACATCCTCGAATTATCGCTCATCATCATCCGGTGCTCCCACGCGCTCAAGACAGAGCCTACCTGGGCCAAGTGGCGATGGCAGACCCAAGGCACAGCCCCATGGCATGCCCTCACAATATTTGTTCGGCACGCATGTTCCCACCCTTACCCTTGGAGCACGGAGATGGAGCAGACGTGGGAGAAGGCCAAGGAGCTTATGGCTCTGGTTGAAGGACAGGAAACGATCCATTCCAAACGGCTGCTAGAGTTAGCTGCTCAGCTAGATCGCTCCCGGGGTGCGGAGGTTGCCCACCCAGCGGCACCGCCACCGATGGGCCCCGCGCCAGGGGCCATACGCGAGTGGACCTCGATATGCAAGACGGAGTCCTTTCCCAGCCCTTATCTCTAGGGTATCCGGAATCACTGTCATCGGGGTCTTTCTTGCTGATAGACAATGCGGCTGCGCACCAAGTGATTTCGTCGGAGAGCGCGATCATGGATGGAGACGACGCATCTTGGGGGCCCATTCTGCTCAATCAATGGGGTCTTGATGACTTGCAGCCGGTAGAAATTGACGACATTGAGTCATTGTGGAGTTTGTTTTAGCTGTCACTCGATAGTACTATTCAAGTTGGAGCTACAATAAGCTTAAAAAATGAAAAAGGCTTGTGTTTGTTCGGTACAAAGACGAAAACAAAAGATTGGATGAAGGAAAATTTTGACTTGGTACAGCCTCACGGCTTCCAGCGGGTCAAGATGTGATCCTCCGGCATTGGGGCAGGGTTAAAACACTTTTTCAAGTTTAAAATCATGGGTATATGGCACGCGAGAGCTCTGATGCAGACACACAAAACACGAACGTGGATTACAGAGAAAAAAACAGGCTGTGCAAAATTAAGCTTGGTGTGCAAAACTCGCGAACGTGATGCGGACCCGAGCATTTCTTGCGCCAGCCACAATGGAAATTGAGGCGCTAGCCAATTGAAGCGTGCTTCTCATTATGCCAAAACGCCGTCTGAGTCAACGGCGAAATGGATGCCTGACTCTTCCTCAGGCTACAGACCGAAAGGCGTGGCATCAAACGTCAAAGCCTTTGCGAAATACGACGAGCCAACGATTGATTGCTAATCTAGTGCGTCCGCTAGAAAGAAAAAAATCTAAGCACTGTTCTTTTCTTCACGCCCAATTCCTGACATGGGGGCTTTGCTCGTGCATTACGGTCCGGTGTGACTCAACAAATCACATAGCCCGTGGATGGGTTTAAAGCAGCAGCCTACTCGATGAAACCATCCTTCGTGCCCGTCCGCCGGTCAATCGTGTCTCCGGCTTACGCAGTGGTCCCCGGCCGAGCAAGGTTTGTAAATGGATGCCTGGATCCGAGAAGGGACGGCGTTGTTAGCATGGTACCTGTGATTTGCGTCTGCCGCTGGTGATGGCTCCTTGTATCGTCGCATCTTGGTGCCCCACCACACCAACGTGCGCCCTACTCACAACTCCGCTAATACCACATGGCGCCCTTTTGGGGTGACCCGATTACCAATTAATCCCGTTTTTGGCTGTCTCTGCAGGTCAAAGGGCGCGGGTGTGAATGACGAAGCAGAGCTTCATGGTCGACGGATATACGCAATGGTGAATTGGAAATCTTCAATGAGGCTCAGCACCGAGATACACACGTAGCTTAGTGTTAGTGCTTCATGGAAAACTTGTTTGTATATAATCCCTGGCTCGTCTCTCCTCAAGTCCATCATGATCCATCAACACAATCACACAATTCAACCAGCAATCATCTCTTGATAAGCACCTTCAACTATATCACCACGCATTTTTGCAACCTCTCCTGCTCCAATAACCACATATCTACAACTCACACACTACCCCAAAAACTTTCAGCACCATGAAGTTCCTTTCCCAGTCCAAGGCTACCTCTGCCTCTCGCTCCCCCAACGCGTCTAGCCGCGGTGCGAAGTACGACACTGAAAGCATCATGACCTTCGACTCGAGCTCTACCGCAGCGCCCAAGAAGAAGACCAAGTCTCCATGTTAGTTGAACCGCCCGTCTTTTCAGATCACTCTTTCGTTTCTCTAGGACGCAGCTAACCTCTAATATCATATAGATGATTCCAAGTCCAACATGTACGCCAAATATCTCCAGAATTCGATGAAGCAGTGGTCTTGATCGGCACCAACCCGTTCAAGCTTCCTTACCGCTCACGGCGCGTAAGGAGCATCGCTTATATCATGAAGACATGATGGATGATTTTGCACTCGGCGTTCTGGGCTTTTATCAAAGACTGGCGGTTTACATTTCAACCGCCTCGCCGTCATGGCTAGAAGAATGGCATGCGCGGGTGGATGGCCTACCATCCACCTGCGTTAATAATAGACTTGCATGTAGTTTTTAGACAGCTATATTAATTTGATCTCTTCACGCTTCGCAATAATTGCCCAACAATGTCTGCAGTGATAATTATCTCGGCCGTAATCGGAGTTGGTATCTCGCCCACCACTCTGTCGTAAGCGTGGTCTAAGCATCAATCTTCCTTGTGATTAAGTCTCAATGTTACGCTTTCACGGATTTCGGGTGCTCGCTGCCCTGAACTAGTAACTCAACGTGCCCGAGCGCGAGAGGACGGAATGTCATTCGTTCCTTTGAATCAAGTCAAGGGTATGTTTGACTCCAGGTAGCAAAGGAATCGATCCGACGACAGTTACGTCATGTCAGGGATATCTGAGAAGGATGCCCCAAGAAACCTGTATTCTCTACGCGTATTGAAGGGAAAAGAATCTTGACACTGATTGAGAAGCCCGAATCAGGGAACGGGGACAAAATACGAAACCGAAATCATCATCCATGGGGTATCAAGCACAACCAAATCTACATCCGTCCACCGTCTCTTCGAAAACGCGCCGTTCGAGAGGACCAACCCTGAATCTCTCACACGCACCATCTCCTCTCGGGCAGCCCTATGCCCTAACATCGATCCTCCATCCTCTGCCGCTGGAGCTGCATCATGACCTGCTTTTCCATATTGATCACCCCGGACTCCATAGCCCGGGTTTCCTCTTAACCCGCCTCTCGCGCTTCCGGTCCCACAGCCACATAAACAGCACAACAATCACGGTGAGCGGTACGGAGACGGCAAAGTACAGCCAGAGCTGCGGGGCAACGTCGACGCGGGGCCGGTCCCGTTGGTGGGGTCGGCGCCGCGAAAATTGAAGAAGGACATGCTGAAGAGGGACGCGACAAACGTTCCGGGGAAGAAGATGGCGCCCATCATGGACAGCCTCTTGAGCGCGTTGCCGTCTTTCTTGCTGGCTTGGGCGATACGTCGCTGGTCCGTGATCATGGCCATCATTTGCAGGTTGACGATGGATTCGCGGTGGGCCATGACGTTGGTCAACTATGTAGACAAGTAGCGGTTAGCAAGAGCGAGAGCTAAAAGAAACCAAAAAAAAAAAAAAAAAAGGCATCGCCATCCCCGTCTTCTTTTTCCTCTTATATCGTGGTTGAGGGGTTACTTACGGCATTCCTTTGAATACTCAAGCGCTCAATCGTCGTGTGCACGTAACCTTCGATCGCCCTCAACTTGGTACGGTAGAACGCCAAACGACCCAAAATGCTCGTGTGCGTAGCCTCCAACCCATCCGTCCACGCATCGGGCAAGGTTCGGCTCCGGAATAACGACATGGCCTCCTCCATGTTGGCAATAATCTCCAGCCAGTCCTGCGGCCGCTTGCGCAGAACCTGGGCATGGCACTCGACCAGCGCTCGGTTGGTATCCTCGATATCGGCCATGCCGTCCTTGGCGCCGTAGCTGCTCATGCTCGACAAGCTATTGCCGGTCGCCACATGGCGGAAGGCTCCCCGCGGAGGTCGTCCTTGGTGTCTATGCGCTGCGAGATGGAGTGCTCCAGGCGACGAACCCAGTCTCGCGTATCGCGCAGCTGCTGGTCGCGGTCCGAGCCGAGGTCGTAGGAGAGGAGGATCAGGGGCAGGAGGAGGGGTGATTCGTTTCCGTGGTGCATTCGAGCAGGTCTTGGATGGACTTCTTGATGTGCGAGGTTGAGGTACCTTTGACGAAGCCGGTGGTTGTCCGCGTTTCGAAACAGTGGGATAGAACTACCTCCCAGCCCTCGGTCTTTCCCTGCTTCTTGGTATCTGATTTCCGGAAAACGATGTCTACTCGTTATCCGATGTTAGTGGCACATTCGAATAGGCCCACGACCGTAAAGGGCCACGATCATGGATAGCCATTGACTTACGGAGCCTAGGGTACTTGTCTTTATGGTCTAAGAAGGACCAGAAAAAGGGCCCACCACGCTGGTGCCTTCGATAGCTCTGGTGGGAAGGTTGAACTTGTCAACCATCTGTTCGTAATTCTTGGCCTCGAGAGAGATGACCCCGGGCTAAAGGTGTCTGGATGGACTGCTTCCTTTTGAACACTGGACATGGTGCCTGTGTTAGTCAAAACGCGGCAAGGCGGCCCGGAGCCTTCTCAATATCACGACTTACACGAGTCTTACGGTGCCTAGGGCCTTCACTCCATACCGAGATGGAGGTGGGGAAAACATGCCCTGCTCTCAGATTAGCGATGCGATGCGCCTGGTGGAGGTGAGAGTTATGCACTACACGTACCTTTCGGTTCAAGAAATCCTCAAAGTCGTAGTCTGCCAATTCATGCTCGACGACATTGTCAAAAGAGGGATTCTATTCACCAAGCGAAGCCAAGGTTAGTTGGGCCCCCAAGAGCCAAGCTAGATATATGAAGGGGGTTAGGTGTGAGTCGGGGATGGCATAATTCACTTACTGAATACGTTGTGATTTCTAACGATCGTGTTACCTCTGGAACGGCCCGGCACGAATTCACGTGGGATCTAAAAAGATAATCGTCCATATTAACTTGCGATGGACTTTACATGTAATGTTGTGAATGTTGATGTCGCGTCTGCTGAGCTTCAAGCTGTTCGACACGCTTTTCGGCTTGGATTGTTCAGAGGCAAGCAAGTGGCGGGCGCTGATTGTTCGAGAAGAAAAATTGGCGATGATTAAAAAGAAGAGGAGAAGCTAGAATAAATGTTTTTTCCAATTCTTTCCCCGCTCCCTCTTTCAATTGATCCGATGCTGACCTCTTTTGTTTTCCCGATCTTGAAGCGTTGCCTCTCCCAGTATCCGGGGTGCAGGTGGAGATTAGACGAAGACCTTCAGCCCCAAACCCCGCTGGAGGCTGTGCAGGCCACTCCCGCCAAAGCAAAAGGGAAAAATGTATATAGGCAGCCGACGCAGGGGTCCAGCCCGTCAAAATTGTCAATTGGAGAGCTCGAGCTTTCAAAGTTGGCTCAATGTTTCCCTTTCACCTGAAGGCGGCCCCCTAGCGCGGCCCCGTGCAAACCCTGCGCTGTGGCTCAACCAGAACCGAGACACAAAATCCAATAGGACTTCGCCTAGAAGCGAAAGTCCTGGGATGTCCACGCGTCGCGAAAGAGCCACGGATACTTCTAGCGTAGGACCCCGGACCAGCAACGAGGGGAACTAGGCAAGCGAGAGGGTGGGCGATGCAACTTCCATGGAATCGAGAAGCTGAGCCGGCACTTGATTATTATGGAGAATAATGATGAAGCCTGTTTTACACAAAAATCGCGCTGGGCGCAGCCCGTGAAAGAACATGGCGTCACACGAAAAGGGAGGGAACGGAGCTGTTGGGGGCATGGCATGCAGGGGAGGAGGTCTTGAAAGGATCCACGTTTTCGCTCGGTTCTTAATGATCCTCCCTGAAGGAATGTGATATTACCACTCTCTACTTCCCCATTCCACGGTCAAGAATTTCCATTTCCTTTTTCAGAGCGGAGCAACCTCAGCTCACTGCTTGATGGATGGCAGATTCTAGGCTGGCAACATCCTGGATAAATGAGAGGGCAAGTCCGAATAGTCTCAAGCTTGCAAAGTTCGATGAGTCCAGCCATTTTAGAATTCTGGTTGGGCACGCGCGTGAAATACTAGATCCCTTGCATACATTACATATGGATGTAATACAGCTGTTGAGTAACTTGATATATGGATCCATGGATGGATCCATGGATGGATCTATGGATGGATATACAGGTACTATAAAACCGCCCTTCTTAGGCCTCGCCCGGGCCAAGTCGCATAGCCAACTCTACCTCCATTCTCTCGGCCGCCTTTGGCCCGTTGATTATATCGCCCATGATATCGGAGCCAGGTGGGAAATCATGTTCGAATAAAGGTTCCCCGACCCTCTCATATTTGCTAGCACTGTCTGGCGGAAATGCCAGCGAAAGAGCTCATCTGGTGGCCTCCGAGGGTCATCTAGAAACCGGCGGTCGAGAAACGTTCCCGCTATTCCGAACGTATCTTGCTGGAAACAGATAATCTTATAGTTATCCTGAATGGGATTGTTAGTAGGATGATTGGGGTGTAGATCTTGAACTTACATCCAGGTCAATCGAGAAAAGGTGCATGTCAAACAACTGATGGATATGGGCTAGGAGGAGGATTCCGTTTTGCACAGAATTGATAGAACCTCCTGATGCGGTGTCTAGCGTGATCCATTGACCAAAATCATTCTCTTTCCAATATTGTTCATAGACGAGCGGATACACGTGAGCCGCTTTGAAACCGACCCAACTGTCATATTGCCGATTAAGATTCGGGGTCTTCGTAACGATACACCGCCCATCTCTTTGGCGAACTGCATCTCGGAAATTTTGCACTCGAGTACCAGTTTCAGGCGAAATAGGTCGATACAGAAATGGCTCACTGCTGACTTGGATCTCGTCGTCGCAGACGATTAAGTAGTGTCCGCCCAGGAGAGGTTGAGAGTTTTCAGTAAGAAGGGCACCGTTTTCCGTCTGAATATACCACATGCTTCCCGTGATCAGGACTATAGAAACCATGCGGTAGAAACCCTTGTTCGTCACTCCTCTTGTTAAAATTAGACCTCCTAGAATATTAGGGGGTCTCGGAGGTCAGAGAATACGACGTCACGGCCAAGAGCCCTTGCACGATCGTTAGTTGCCATATCATAGTTATATGAGACTCAGCACCCCATGATAAAAGGGTTAGTGATCTCGGTTGTCAAGAAAAGAACAACGAATGGGAGACTTCGGATGATGCATTGATTATGAGCTGGAAATACTGGAGACTGAAGCTTATTCAGCCGGAACTGAGCCGGGCCTGGTTGAGATGGAGCAAACTTTGAGCTGCTACGATGGGATGATTGCGAACTCTCGTCGCGCCAGGCTGAACGTTGACCAAACACGCTGCCTCTACCCATCTCATCACCAATTTCAGCAACTAGATAGACCATAGAGAGAGTTGCCGCTCGGCTGCCAAGCGTGCGCGTCGGGACCATATCGGGCCAAGGCGCACCTTGCGAAGATAGCGCTGGGGAAAGACACCAATCGCCGCCATGCATCGAGGGTGGGTCGGTCAACTACTCAAATGGCCCCTCCTCATCCTGCCGTTCACATCTCGGAGCTCCTCGCCAACTACTAGCCAATGGAATCTGATATTCCAACCTTAAAGCTTGTGAGGGCGGGTTGAGGGACGTAAAGGTGGGTTTGTAGGAAGAGGAATGAGAAATTGGTCGCAGGATTGGATCCCATCTGGTTCCGTTCAGTTATTAGTGGCCGGCCAACGTTGGCTCAGTGCGAATCCTGAGGCACTGCTACACGATTCGACAGGAGCTGACTAAGAAGGCTTGAAGGATTTATGGGTGAGACAGACGGCGTTGGGCGGCCCCAACTAATTGACCCTCGGTATCTGGCAAGGACCCTGACGAAAAGCAACGCACTAACAATTTGGCGGACAACTGTTTCGGGGCATCCAACCTCGGCTTGTCGACCAAGCGCCCCCACCCTAAAAACTTCAGGGCTGGGACTGGACGGACTCCGAATCGGCAACCCTCTTTTAGAAATACCGCCTCTCCCGCCCCCAGCGAGCTGCGACCCTTTTGATCGACTTGATATTATTATTCATTGCTCTCACTCACAGCGTACGCTCACTGCCAATTCGTACAATTTCTGCCATTGACGTGTGTGCCTGATTGTTTACCGCATCTTTTTGTTTGACTGGCCTCCCCAACGCCCCACACATCATGGCCAACACAATTTCGGAGCAGATCGCCGTCGACCCGGCCGGCGACAACCAGTTCGTCTCGCGCTGCCTGCCGCAGCGCATGGGCAACACCGCCAATATCTCGTACGGCGGCTGCACGTTGGGCGTGGGCATCGAGGCGGCCTGCGCCACCGTCTCCCCGACTACCACCTCTACACCGTCATGGGCAACTACCTGGGACCGGCCTTCACCGATCGCAAGCTGCTCTGCTCCGTCCGCAAGCTCCGGGACACGCGCACCTTTGCCACGCGAGAAGTCATCGTCAGCCAGGAGGCCAAGGACGGCACCCGGAGGCCGTGCATGAGCATGCTCCTCGACTTCCAGGCGCGGGAGAAGGCGTCCATGTTTGTCTTCTCCGCGCCGCCGTCCCGGTCCTACTCGCCCCCGGAAAAGTGTAAGAGCCGGACCCAGATCGCGCAGACGCTCGTGGAGGAGAAGCTGGTGTCCGAGGAGCTGGCCCATTTGCACAACATCATGTTTGGGCTGATGAACCGCTTCTTCGACTCCCGCCTGGCGCCGGAAGGCATCTCCGCCCAGAACTTGAGCGGGCTCGTTTCCGGGGTGAAGACGGGCCAGGAGGACCTCCCTTTACCGACATGACGTCGGCCGATTGGTTCAAGGCGCGCCACCAGCCGCCCACGAGCCACGCTCACTACTCGGCCTTGGGATTCATGATGGACGCGAACCTCTCGTTCTTGCCTCTTACTCACAACAACCTATCGCTGCAAGATGCTGCCGCGTGCTCGAGTCTCGATTTTTCCATGAGGATCTTTACCAATGATCTAGATCTTACCAAGTGGCACATGAGGGAACTCAAGTGCGTGGTCGGCCAGGAAGGAAGGACGTACTCGGAATCGAGGTTGTGGGATGAGAAGGGGAACATGGTCGCCAACATGTCGCAGCAGTCCATCATGCGGCCGAAGCCGGGACAAAAAGAGCCGATTCGTGCGTCTTTGTGATGAAATGTTGACCATGAAGTTCGGGGAAGGGGATGGTTCGCTGTTAAAATGGGAAAGCGAGAAAAAGGTGTGTACGATTATAGACAAAAATTATCAACGTCCAGTGCAATGCAAGCCAGCGTTATGCAAGTATGCAGTTCCATCCATTGATTGATTCAAGCCAATTTTTCAGCCACCACCGGGTCCTCAGCCACGCAAGGAGCATTCGCTCCCGTCGAGACTGATAAGTGGCTGGAAAAGGTGGCAATGGCGAATAGGCTTTCACCTACTCACACGTGTGTGTGAACCGGATCCGTGAGACAATGACGCAGGCTCGGCCCACCTGCTGCCAAGCTCTTGGCTTAAGCTTCACCCTCCTATTTGCTCACTTGCTCACCAGGGACCAGCACCTTGAAGAGCACGAGGTCGGCACCGAGGGGCGGTTTAGCACGGGAAAAATCACCAACTACCTGATCTTCCCTAGCCGTTTGGCAAAATGAATAAAAAGGTTGGAATTTTTTCTCTCTAGATATAATGGAAAAGCCACCGCCCTCTGTTCAATAACGACGACTAGGCCGTTCCCGGTTTAACTGTAAAGTTGCAGCCGTTCTGCATGAGTCTGCGGCCCATCTAACAACATACAGCAAGGAACAGATCGGGCAGTCATGCCCTGAAGCCACAGACCGCATCGCGAGCGAACAAGTAAATTGCCGCCCCTCTCCCATTGATTCTCTGAGAGCCCGAGATCTTAGCTCACCGCCGCCCTCCATATTTTCTTTTTTCTTTTTTTTTCTTTCTTTTCCCTCCCGCGTTTCCTTCTCCTCAATACTCACGACGACGAAACCGCACATCTCATTCTCGAACAGACAGAGGGGACAAAAATACCGCGCCGCAGTCCGCCTCATTTCGAAACTAGTTGGCCTAACCCTTTTGAGCATCATGAGCACAGCTCCCGCTGCGGCGCAAGGGGCGGCTCAGAAAAGCCTCCCCGCCCGCGACGGTGCACCCGGTGATCACAGCTATGAGCGCTCCATATTCGGCTATCTCACGCATCCCGACGATAGTTACACGCCAAACGGCGTCTACTGGGCCGATCTGCCCCTCCGCCAGCGCATCGCCTTCGTCAACAAGGTCAACAACCAGGAGGTGAAGAAGGAGTGGAGATCCGTCCGCAAAGCGACCAAGAAGAACCCCTTACGGCCCTTTAGCTGGTACTTCAAGAACGCCGTGCTCCCGGGCGCTGGGATCGGACTCCAGGGTTACGTCCTCTTCTCCATCGGCAACCTGCACACCCTCTTCGCCTCGGCGTGGCCAGAGTGCTGGAGCGACGATGCGACGCAATGCAATGTCAACCTAGTCGCCAGCGTCATGTACCTGGGTATCATTGGCATCACCGTGGGCCAAATCGGGGTTGGCATCATCGGCGATTGGATCGGGAGAAAGTGGGGTTTGATCCAAGATGCCGTGGTCATGACCTTGGGCCTGGTGATGCTGACGGCGAGCTGGGGCGTCAACCTTCAAGGTTGGGTGATATGCTATGCGATATCGCTATTTTTCTACGGTTCGTGGTCCCTGTAACCCCCATCCGCACTTCGAATATCACACACTAACTTGGAAAACTTAGGTGTGGGCGTCGGCGGCGAGTATCCCCTGACAGCCACTGCCGCCATGGAAAATGCCCGGAAGAAAGGCCCCAAGGCGAAGAGGGAGGATAGGTTGCACCGCGGACGCAAAGTGACGCTAGCCTTTCTGATGCAGGGTTGGGGTCAACTAATCAACCAAGCCGTCCTCATCATCCTCTTGCTCATCTTCAACAGCGGCCACGGCGATCCGCCTTACACGAAAAAGGCGGCGCAACTCACGTTTCGCCTCTCCTTCGCCATCCCCGCTCTCGGTACCCTCTGGCTCGTGTATTACCGGATATTTGTCGTCAAGTATCCGAGCGCCCCTCTCAACGACCTCAAGAAGAAGCGCAACATCACCGGGTACGACGTCAAGTCCCTCCGCCTGATCCTCAAGCACTTCGGGGGCCGGCTCCTCGCGACCGCTGGCACGTGGTTCTGCAATGATGTGTTTTTCTACGGCAACAAGCTATTCCAGGGTCAATTTATCGCGGTGATTAGCAACAACCCTGATTCGGTGATGGAGTCTTGGCTTTGGAATCTTCTCAACATTGCGATATCCATGGTGGGATACTACAGCGCGACGCTCTTCATCGATAACAAACTTTACGGGCGGATGAAGATGCAGCTTATTGGTTTCCTCATGTGCTTCGTCACCTTCATCATTCCCGCCTTCCATTTTGACTACTTTACGAGCCCGGCTGGGATTCACGGTTTCCAGACCCTTTACTTTCTAAGCTCCTTCTTCATCCAGTTTGGTTCCAACTCGGTCACTTTTCTGGTCGCAGGTGAGGTGTTCCCAACACCCGTACGTGCCACAGCCCACGGGTTTTCCGCATCAGTTGGCAAGGCCGGAGCCATGCTCGCATCCGTGCTATTCAACTATATCGATGCGCACACCAAGTTCCTCGTCGTTCCTTGGTTCGGCCTTGTGGGGATGGTCCTCACGTTCCTGTTCTTGCCTGACACGACTGGCCTCGACTTGCAAGAGCTTGAGCGGCGATGGGAGTATATCCTTGCGGGAAGGGATGCCGAGTATCACGGAGTCGCAGTCCATCCCGTGCACCTTTCCGTCTGGGAAAGGCTATGGGGGTCGGAAAGCGGTACGACGCCGAGGCGGACTTTGGCGCCCGGATCCGCGACCTGAGGGAAGAGTGGGTCATGTCGGAGGAGAAGAAGCGCCAGGCGGAGGCACGCGGGGAATCGCCCGAAAGCGACGAAGAGGAAAATGAATTTAGCGACGAAGTGAGGCGCTACTTTGAACGGACGCGAGTAGGTGCTTAAGAAGCGATTGCCTCTGTTTGGATGATGGGGAAAAAGAAAAAAGCGAAACCGCCGCCATTTCTTGTCGACGGCTTTCCTTTTATTGCATAGTACATAGTGCGGAGAGGTCCCTCCGTGAGACAGGGTAATGCGTTGTCGGATAATGGGGCTTGGCAAACTGTTCTAATAACCACGTAAATAATAGATAACTTAATTGAGCATACATAGCCGGCGACTTTTAGAGCATGACTGATAAATACGAAATTTGGATTGGCTATATTTTCCCATTTATTTCAAAAGCCGCCAAAACCCTTATCTACCACCCGCTTACACCCTAACTACTTTGACGCACCAGACTGCGCGTCCCTAGCTTACTCGTCATCCTCCTCCACCGGATCCTCTGGCGCGGGCTCTTCAGCGGGAGCATCAGTCTCAGCCGGGGCCTCACCCTCTGTGGGCGCGGCGGTCTCTTCACAGGCGGGGAGCACGGGGAATCCCGCAGGGGGCTCAGCACCGCCGGGGAAACCTGGGAAACCGCCGCTGGGCAAGCAAGTAGGGAAGGCGCCGGGACCACCAGGACCGCCAGGACCACCGGGACCACCGGGGAACCCGCCACCAAACCCGCCGTTGGGGTTAGCCTGGCCACCCTCCTTGTAGAGAGTAGCGGCGGCGGACACCTCGCGGATGTAGCTCGTGTTCACGCCAAAGCTGTACCAGGCGAAGACGCCGTCCTCGACGCTGTCGCCGAGGAGCACGTACTCGGCCAAGGGGTCGGTGACGGCGGCCTCCTGAGCGAGGATGAAGTCGTTGGCGTTGAGGGTAAGCTGCATCTGGTTGCTGGCGTAGGGCTCAAACTTTTCGACGTCGGCGATGAGGTCGTCGTCGAAGTACATTTGTCCCACGTGGGCGACGTTGAGATCGACAATGGTGTTGTTTTCGCGAACCTCGGGGTCGAGGTGGACCATCAGGTGGATGTGGGTGGCGCGGCCCTGGTAGTGGCCGGGGAAGTTGGTCTCGAACTGGGCGGCGCCGTCCTCGTCGGTGGGCTGGTAGCCGCGGTGGAAGGTGTTGTCGAGGTTGGTGGGGTCGGCCTCGCCCACGCCGTTCATGGCGGATAGGACGCCGCTGTACACACCGGTGGCGTTGCAGTCTATGGACATTCAGTTCAATTAGCAAGCTGGAACGGATGTGTAAGGATAGAATAGATTGGGGTTCTCACGCCAGATCTCGAGGTAGGCGCCTTCGATAGGGTCACAGGTCTCGACATCGATAAGTTGGATATCAACGCCGAGGGGGATACCGGGTTCCTCGTCCACAATGTTCTGTCGTACGAGTCCACCCGCAACGTCTAAATTTCTCGGGTTAGTCTTCCAATGCTCCCGTCCTTTGAGTAGCCATAGGATGTCAGTCAGGCGGCATGGAGGATCACATACAGAAAGGGCCCTCGGTAACCTCGGGGTTGAGGATGCAAGATCGGTTTCCGGAGAAGACAATCGAGGTATCAGTCTCAAAGGTGTAATCCTCGTCAGAGTGGTGGGACTTGTTCCATGTCGCATCATCTCCGGTGGCCTGGCGGGCTAAAGCCGAGATATAAGAAGTTAGTCATGGCCTTGTCTTGGGTACGGTACCGGTGGGGAGAGACGAGGGTGAAACACACCCTTGATGTTGGACCTCTTGCGCAACTTGTGGGTGATCTCGCTGCGGCGCTGGATAGCGCGCTTATCGTGGCCCCGCTTCTTCAACTTGTCCGCGCAGTGGCTCAGATCAGCTTTGTTGTTCTCGAGGAAGGCTCGGCGGACGGCCATCTCGTGCTCGATATCATGGTCACCGTGGGCTGCCACGAAAGGCACGAGCAGGAGGGACGAGAGGAGAGACGTGATCTTCATGTTGAAAGCGGCTGTACGAGGACGGGTGGGGCTGTTGGCGAGATATTTGATAACTCGGCAGTGTATCTCGGGAGACAACGATCGGGGCTGAGAGATAGAAGAGAAAAAGAAAAGAAGAAAAAAAAAGGCCATCAAAGGACGAGAACAGACGATGCCTTTTAAGCTCTGATAATGCCTCGTCTCCTCGTCTCCTCTTCTCCTCGTCCCCCACTATTCCGAAAAGACGTCAGTGCCCCATCCCGGATCTTGAATATGCGTGAGAAACAGACAATGATGTTAGTCCCAGGAAGCAGCGTTGCTTGCCGCGGCTCTAATGGCCTATCGCTACGGCAATGCTACGCGTCCGTTTAATATGCAATCAACGAGGAGACGTAATCAGTCGCCTTTGATTGGGCAATGGCGTCGAAGAGCTCCAAACTCCACCAATGTCGACGAGGGCAAGAGACCCCCGGTCGTTCGTCACATCGTTTACTGGCTGAATACTCCGAAGGGGCAAGAGGGGCCGCTAAGCTGTGTAAGTGCCAGGGCAGAGGGCCGAGGAAGAAAAAAGCTTGTGCCGCCTTAGTACGCTGCCCCGCGAATCTATCGCATAGGAGCGTTTAATATGCCGACATGCAATGCCATGGTGAGTCGCAAACGCGTCTCTCGAATTCATCCCAACTTTCCCGCAACCCTGGTCCAATACAGAACGCGCGTACTCCCTTCCAGACGCCTTTTTTCCCTCTGACGAATAGCAAGCCACGGAAAGTGGAAAATCATGAGGCCGACCGGCCCCGCCCAGGCCCCCCACCCCCGCGATGCCGGGGTCCACCCCACCGATGGCGTCCTGCCGAACTTCCGAGTTGTGAGGGCCGGACGTTGGATCTTTCGCTCCTTGGTAGGGACCAGCCATCCGACGGTATAGTGTCAGCGAGGCCGCTGAGCTCAGCGGTTCCCCCAAAAACCCAAAAGGAGTCTCCTCGGCCGATTCTCGTTCGCCTACCCCAGATGAGGGATCAGAAAATCTCGCCTCAGGTGATGCCCGTAGTTATTTTCAGTACCCTCCGTCAGGGCAAAAGGGGGGTGGTGGTTCTGCCGTGTCCGTTTGTGGTCGCTGAACCAGGAATGGTGGATCCTGGCCTCGCTTTTAGCCAGCATGGACTTTCCATTCTTCCCCGCTTTTTTGGGCTGGCGTGGCCCGATTCTTTGTGTATGTGAAATATGGCGGGTGCATGTTCAATTAATATATGGTTAAATTACGCCAATGGTGGGCCGAACAACCCCATGGTCGCCCATTTTTAAAAATATTGCCCCTAGTCGAACGACCCTCGGCCTCCTGGAGCCGAAATGAAGACTAGTTGTTCGAATCTGTGGTTCTCAGTCATCGACACGGTCCGGCTTCCCATCACGGGGCCATAATGTTCCAGGAATAGCCCTTTCCAAACTCGCCTTATAACGAGCCCACTTCTCCTTCGTCTCTTTGAGACAAAAGGGAAAGAAAGACTGATTTTTCTTCTTTTTCTCCTTCTTGTATTTCCTTTTTCTTCTCGAGTAACTGGATCTCAACGGGTGCGTGGGACTTCCAGAAGCGGACTGAAGATCTTAGTGCCAGGACCACCCATTCCCTCGTCACACGTTGGAAAAGGCAAGATGGTGGCGATCAGCTACGTCCTTACGGCGTTGGCGGTGGCGATCCCTGCCCTTGCGCAGGGTCCGTGTTCCACAATTCGTCAACGACGGGCATGGTTCGTCTTCCCTATCCCTCACAAATGTCTCATACCCTGTGGACACTATTAATCCAGCACACTGGTGATCCATCCGGTGTGGGGTGATGGTGCAGGGGACTGTCTCTACGGGTAACTGACAAAGTGGAACCGCAACAGGCATACGCTGAGCAACAGCGAGAAACGCGCTTACTTGGATGCCGAGGTTTGCTTGCTGGGCAAGGCCCCCAAGTTTGGCTTCGAGGGGGCCAAAAACAGGTTCGAGGAGCTCCAGGCCGCTCATCAAGTCCAGGCTTATCTCATTCATGGAGTTGTAAGTCAAGCCCTAAATTTTCTCAGAAACCTTGAGGTTGAGAGGCCCCTTCTGACTGGCTCTTGTCGGGTGCCGCGGTTAGGGAGCGTTTTTGCCTTTCCACAGATATCTTATGCACGCTCATGAGACCCTGTTGAGGACTGAGTGTGGGTACCAGGGAGCGCAACCGTAAGTAAATTCTTCTCTTCTGTATTTCCACTGAATCTCCAAGGAATCTGTTTCTATTGGCACAAGGATGGGTGGCGAGCCTGGTGAGGAGCAGCGGGCTAACAACAGCGATCTAGATACTGGGATGAGACACGGGATGCCGGTCGCGTCAGTGAGTCCGAGATCCTTGATCCGGACACTGGTTTCGGAGGAGATGGTGTGGGTGAGAGGGGTTGTATCGCCGACGGACCGTTTGCAGGCTACATCAACAGCATCGGGCCAGGTTATAGGATTACGGATCGCTGCATCACACGCTTCGTGAACAACACCCGAAGCTTGATGGCTAGCCCCCGTTTCACCGACAGGTGCCAAGGCATGAATCGATATGTTGACGTGTGGCCATGCCTCGAGGGAAACCCTCATAATTCGGGCCATGGCGCTATTAGCGGACTGGTAAGCATATCTCCTCGCCCCCCTCCCCACACATACAAGATAAATTTTCTAATCTGGCGTCATGCCGTATAGATGATGGACCCGATCGCCAGCCCCGGCGACCCCATCTTCTACCTTCATCACACATGGCTCGATAAGCTGTGGTGGGAGTGGCAGGCCATGGACCTCCCCGACGCCTCACCGACATTGGCGGCCGTAACACCCAGGACGGCTCCGAAGGTTTCCCCGGTGCACCGCCCAACTCTAACGGTCCCAACGGCGCGAAGCGACGATCCCCGCCGACGGCCCCATCCTCATCTTCCCCGGGGACGGAGGAAACATTGACTGGGACGAGATTGACTGGGAAAAGATTGGCTTCCCGGCCTCGGCGGTGGAAATGGAGGCCCGATCCAGTTGCCGCCCGGCGTTGACGTTCCCGGAAGCCCTGGAACCTCCCGAGGATGCCGAGCCTCAAGAGCCCAGGGGTGACCCGGGCGATGTGACCACGTTGAACCACGTCCTGAAGATGTTTGGCCTCGTTCCAGACGCCTTGATCCGAGACGTCATGGATATCGCCGGAGGCACTCTGTGTTACGAGTACGTCTAAAGCGCTACAACCCAACACATTGACAGGTTCTGGTTTCTCGCCCTCCTTTCTCTTTTTGGGGCCTTCTTCTCTTCTTCTTTTTATTCTTCTTCTTTCCTTTCTTCTCGCATTTCTCCTCATTTAATCCGCCCGCGCGCGTTGCATAACTTTGAATTGCATGGAAAAAGTCGAGGAGGATGTACATAGGCATCTTTCTTTTATTCCTCCTGCGGCGAGAAACAGCAAAAGGCATTCTTCTACAACCTTCTTCTTGATGTATCGCATATTCGAAGCATTTGAATCCTGTACATACGCATCAATTGAAAATAACGCTGAACATTGTTCTTTACACAAAGCCGGTCCTTTTATGAGGCCTCATCACACACAAGTTTGCTCCCTTGTATTGAGATATGGATTATATCGACGGGTCCCGAGATGCTGCTTCAACGGGGTACTTCGAACAGATAATCACATGGCACGGCGAGACGAGAGTGCGAAAGATCGATTCTTGTGAAATCCATGGGTTTACTCCATAATATAACAAAACTAAAGAAAATACATGTTCCGTTTATCATCACATCTGTCTTCATCGAGTGCCTAAATCTTCCTCAAGAAAGAGGGTGCACTCGACGCCTCCCCAGCACACCAATCCTCATCTATAAGTGCTGGTTGTGTCATCCTGTGAAAGGGATAGGAGGAAAAGGGGTTGCTTTGATAGGCTGTGTGAGGGGTATCTGAAGGGTGTCCGAATTAGAGTGTCTAGGGCTGGAGAGGGTGCCATGCCAATGAATATCGGGATGACTTTGCCGTCCTTTGTGCTTGCGCTCGTGTAACCCAGCTGCCGATGTTCCGGTTACCACCGACCGCCTCGGCGCCCACCGCCGCCGTACATTGGACCGCCGCCACCATACCTCGGGCCACCGTGCATATGGCCGCCGTGCATAGGCCGGCCATAGCCCGGACCGCATCCGCCCCCATTCGTCCCATTCCAGGACTGACGACAATGGGACGAGGACGGACGACATGAACGGGACGCGGGCCCATCATCATGGGGGCCGTACATCTGCCTGCGAGATGTGCCGAAACACATTGTGATGTGTAGATTGAGGGGTTGTTAAGAGAATTGGTGGGCCCTGGTGGGATTCGGTAGATGAATGTGTCTTTTGTTTCTGATGGGGGTTATTGTTTGCGTGTACTGATTGTTTGGCTTGTTTTTGGCTAAGATGTTGCTTTATTGACTGCTTTATTGATGTCTCAATTGAATTCAGATCAGCACGAGGAGAGGATAGTATGATGCTGTTTCGTATTTTGTGTCTTCTTCAACGTAGAGTGCATTGCTTTTTTACCTGGGAGTTGAGTGTGATTTAAATACCCTCCACCAGAGTGAAGCTTTTAGCGCATGTTGCCTCTTGCTCCTCTACGCAAATCTGATGACTGCTCTGTGATGCCAAGCATGATGTGATCTCATTGATTACGACGGGCGGGGCCCCGCCCAACTAGGCGGAGCTGGGCGGAAAAGGGTTGAAGCACTCGAGCCGATCGCCCGCTCGGACGCAGTCCGCCGAACCCTATCCTGCTGCTGGATGCGGCGCTAACGTACACTGGTCGAGAGGCGTCATCGCTAGCACACCCGCGCCAAACCACAAGGAATTACAAAGTTCAGCGGACCCAGGATCTATTTCTGGTGAGCGGAGAGGATGGGGAAGCCAGGGGCAGCCCTCCCGCAACTTCTCGTTCATGAATCTCGCCTGGCCTGTCCCACATGCCATTCGCTTCTTCCCGCGAGGCCTGGGAAAGGGTTCGGCCAAGGCTTGTTGATCGGAAAACTCCGTTGATTTCGTGTCGGTGCCGAACTGAGCCTCAATTTTTTGTGTCGGTTGTCTCATTATCCAGTCTGTGGCTCAGCGCTTCATGTGATCGGTGATGGGTCCGTCTCGGGTGTCGCGCGAGGACCGCCCCACCTCCACGTCAGCTCGACTCGGCCCTCGCTGGGAGCGCCTGTTCAATAGCTCGGAGAAATTCTTGGTGCGATACTCGCGAAATGGCCGCGAAGCGAAGCTCCCTTGGCCGTAGCGCTAGTTTGTTGCTGCGGTTATCTGCAAACTTTTGATGTGTGGTGCGATGACGGAGGAGCCCGATCTAACGCCTCGTGGATTCGGGGCGCTTAGGAGGAAGCGATCTCAACCCCAACATGTGCGGCGAACAAAAAGGCTCCCCAGCTTTCACAATGGAAGCACAGCGCCACTTGAGGTGTACCAGGTCCTTGATCAAGTTTCCATTAGCCTTGTTGGGAATAGACGAGCATCATGTTCGATAAATATGCGACGGTCTACCAATTCCAACGTCCAGCCACTTGTATCATGACCACTGTGCGTTTAGCACTCGTGCGCCCCGGAAGACCCAGGCCGCAAGCGCTCTATTAGAACACAATTAATATGATCAAGGCAATTGATTTGTGTTTTGCTCTCCCATTATCAACAGGCGGGCGACGACCCAAGGGTTATAAGAGTGGGGAGGATCTTGTTCTCTATCTTGAGGTTTTTAGGTCAAAACTTGCACCTCATTTGTCTGATAGGGAAGCTATGTTAAAGAGTTCAATGTTGTGACAGTTTGTTATAGATCAGATTCTGATCGATATGGCGGATGACGATATGTGACTTGGGCCTCCATGCATTAAAAGTTCCAGTAAGAATTTCCATGGTAATGATCAAGACATTCCCTCGAATTCTGGGATGTTATTGATTAGTGGGATAGAAAATGAACAGCTCAAGTAAAAGAGTGCATCATAAAGCATGTCCGAGTACTCGAAACCAACTTCGCGATCTTCACAACAATTGACTCGAGTTATGGGTTTCCAGTATCAACCGCGTGTCCACTTCAGGTTCAAGCAAGGACGCGGGTCACGAGATTGATCCAATCCTCTCCTTTTTCGCTCGGAACGCGGTTCCTTGGTTCCGGTTCCGAGCCCAGTCCTGCAGCTCCCCCAGTAATCACATTTCCCTCCCCTTTGATTCACTATTGTCAGCACGGAAAACAGAGGGATTATGTAACTGTATTGGCAGTGTGGGGCCATCCAATATCGCCCGTCTCCATTCATTCATCCATTGTTCAATCACATCGACATGTTAATATATTCGACGCACCGGGTTTCCGGGTTTTCAGCCACCTATTTGCTGTCTTTGCTGGAGGAATTAGGGAGGTGAAGCGCCGATGAAACTCTGCCGTGCGCAAAGTGCGTAAAAATGCTGGGATGACAGTACGATCATTTCCACGGCTAGATTCAATGCCACGTATCAAGAACCAATTTTCCCTTAATCAAGGCCTGGGAAGGGCCCATGAATATGAAGGTAGTCCTCGCCGCCGCCAGTCGCGGCGAGATCTCCCCGCGTACTTCTTTGGCCGCACATCTTCCTCGGGGTAGAATATCACCAATTGAACGTACGACGAAGTCGAGAGTCGCGCTTTTCCTTCTTTCTTTTGAAATCAGATATGTCGCAGCGTAGTCCTTTCTGGGGCATAAGCCTCCTTTTGCTGTGTGGGCTCTTTTGGCCCCAGCTCGTGACGTCACAGCGTCCCGAAGCGTGCCACGCCTGCGTGCCGAGCACCACACGCGACGAGCTCGCTCTGGGCATTTATCTCGGCCACAACTACGGGTGAGTCGCCACTGGCCATCGGCGAAACGCCCTTTGCGTGCGAATATTCGTGCAAGCGAACGAGCCTAGTTTCTAACGATTTAATTATTCGTGATAGCGTGGCGGTCAACTACCTAGACAATGGAACCGCCGTGACGCTGGCCAAGGTGTCGGCGCAGCCCGAGTATTCTGAGCTGATAGAGCGCCTCATCAAGACGAGACCAACGGGCGAAGACCGCAGGGATCAGGGCCGCTTCTCGCCCCTCCTCCGAACCGTCCAGCGAACGCTCGGCTTCGCCACCACGAACGAGACGGCTATCCTAGGCCGTATGGTATCAGATCTTCGGAAAGCGTCCGAGAAGGCGCTCGGAAGGGGCATTCGGGGGCAAAGAGTCTCCGTGACCGCGCCTTGGCAGCCCGTTTGGAGGGACGAGGACAAGAACGACTGCGACATCAACGACGCCCTCTACACCGGAGGCCTGAAGCCCTGGGACCCAGCCTCCCCTGCGCCGCTGTACCTGAGCGAGGTGAGGGCGTCGCTTGGCGCCAGCGGAAGAATCTTGTGCGGGAAGTCCTACGGCTGCGAAGGGTTTACTCGCGATCCTGAAGACGTGTCCCAGTACATCTTTTATATCAGGTAAGCAAGGGGACCCTCTTGACCCGGACGAGAAGAAGAAGGAGAAGAAGAAGAGAAAGAAGTATGGCGACTCTAACACTCTCGTAGCTTCACGAACCAATCGCTCTACACGACCTTTATCCAAGGTGGCTGCTTCTACAACTCCCCGGTAGAAACAACGGGAGTGTTGGACGTCAAGCTAGGCCTGAACAACCTCAACGAAGCCTCCCCAGCAAATTCTGGGACGAGATGAGGAGCGGCTCCTCACGCGCGGCGCCTACTTCAAGCGCTGGATCAAGAGCCGCAACTTCTACACCATCAAGCCCACCATCCTCGTGACGGGCGAGGCGGCCAACCACCCCGAGCTCGTCCCCATTCTCGAAAAGATCGCGTCGAGGCTGCCCGTGATACTCCCACAGGGCGAAGACGCGGTGGGAGCCCGACGGGCAACGGTGCCGAGGTGCTGATTTTGGAGGATGCCGTCTCGGCACCGGCGAGGGGGCCGCTCTTTGGTCAAGGATGAAGCTGGAGGAGGGCTCCTATTGCAAGACGGCGCAGTGTTGTGAGCGAGCGGAGAAGCCGAAGGAGGGTGGTGACAAGGAACGCGAGGAGCTGTGAGGTGAGCGGGAATCATGGTAGCGGGTTTCTTGGGAAGCAATTTGGGATGGATGGTGATGGGCGTTTAATGTTCAATTTATATATATATAGACACCACTTGGCCCCTTTCTTCTTCTTCTTTTCTTTCGTTGAATCAATTTCACGTACTAGATTCGCTGAATGCAGAAGATTCATCGCCCAAGGGTTAAACAATCAACGAGGTGACTCGGCCCAAGAACCAAGGAGAAGTGGTTCCGCGAAGCGAAGCTATCGATATCTTTGTGTCGGGTTGTGTCACATCTTGGCTGGTCCATCCGGACTTAAGGACCGTCGCGAGATCGCGGTCCGGCAAGATGACGGCTACCCGCGGCCAAGGGTCATGCGATATCGGCATGCAAGACACATCGCCATTGTATCCAGCTCCGGGGATGGACTGGACCGGGAGCACACGCCAAATTTCCCCCAACATCATCGTCGTTTATTTTGAATAGATCTGACTTGTCTGCGGAAGAAAAACGTCGTGACGCATTGTTGTGAATCACCACTATTGCTAGTCACGCACAAAGGATGGAAGGGATCGAGTCGAATCCCTCACCATTGATAATTCCGCTGACAAATTCGTCCGGCCAGCCACAGTTCCCCTCACCTTCTGACGTGTAAGGAATGGATCAATGCAACTCCTAACCCCAAGCCACTCTCGGGGAACGCCCGCGCCGGTCGTGTTAGTGCGTCGACACAACGCAGTCGGCGAAGATCCCCCGGAGAAAGGATCACACCCCGCTCTATAAATCTGCAGTCTTTTTCCCTCGCCAAGTACCGAATAGGCCCCTGCAAGCACCATCTTGACAAAATTCCGCCCGCTCTCCAAACCTACGTCTCACCATGTCTAACCAACAACCGGCGCTCACTCTCTACGTGTACAAGGGTTCCTGCACGATAGCAGCCCACAGTCTCCTCGCCCACATCGGCGTGCCCTACAAGATCGTCATCCTCCAAAACGGCCCGGGCGGAAATTCCACCAACAGCCGTATCCAAGCCGCCGACGGGAGCCTCACGTACGAGGATTTCCTCAAGATCAACCCCAAGGGCTACGTCCCCGTCCTCACCATCGGCGAGGGATCCGCGCGCGAGGTCCTCACGGAGCTGCCCGCCATCCTGACCTACGGCGCCCTGCTCGCGCCCGACCTCAACCTCCTCGGCACCGGCGTGTTGGGCCGCGCTCGGGTGGCGGAATGGCTGGCCTGGGCGTCCGGCACGATCCACACTCTCGGTTTCGCGGGCTTTTGGAGGCCCGGGCGGTTCGCGGATGATTCTAACCCCACCACCATGAAGGACATTCAGAATCGAGCGGAGAAGACCATTGTCGGTGCGTTTGCGCAGATTGAGGAGAAGCTGAAGGGTTGCGAGTGGGCGGTCGGCGATGCTTTGACCGTGGTTGACTTCAACTTGTACGTGTACTGGACCTGGTGGATTACGGAGCGTCCTGATGGCGAGGTCGCGGCCCAGCATCCCAACTATGCCAGGCTCGTTGCGAAGGTGCAGGCTTTGGACGGCGTCAAAAGGCGCTTGCGGAGTTGAACTAGGAGGAAAATGAGGGATGGGTCTACTTTGTGAGGCCTCCGCAGCATGCTAGATTGGGCTCCGTCGTTGCGACCTTTGCATCGCATGGTTTAGCTAAGTTTATAGAGTACCACGTTCTAGATGTTGGCCTTAATCGAGCCTAGAAGCATACCGCGTGCGATGACACACGTATTAGACTTGAAGTATCCCGTGACACGAGCGTGATATTTGGAGATTTAAGTGATGCGTTTCAATCTTTCTCGACGGTGAAACTAGAACTATTTTCAAGGTGAGCCTCCCTACGCTGTATGTTGAACCTAAACAAGCTTGGGAACCCCGAAAGTCTCACATTAGAAGCTACAATCACCTACCACACGCCTCAGAAGCGACGCATCGCGATCTTCATCGAGAAGGCTGCCAAGTCATTGGTCGACCGTGCAGCCCAAAGTTGGGTTTCCATGGGCTATCCACCTGTGCCTACTGCACACAGATAAATGTGAGTTCGATGGATGTGCACTTATAGGCTGCCTTGGTTGGTACAACATCGAGTCTGGGCAGGGGTATTTGAACAGGAACAGGATCAGTACGAGCAGGGGTTAGGCTCTAAATGTTCCATTCGCACTCCACATCAAAACGTTGAGCAAATGGCTTTATCCTTACTCCCCTCGGACCCTCCCGCCCCTCCATGCCTTCCCCTTCAACTGGTAGATCACGTCTGGTAATACCCCGGACTCCACGCTCTGGGTTCTGCTCGGCATCTCGCTGGAACTTAAGTGTTGGCTAGCATGTTGCTGCAGACTTCAATGTTGTGTCAATCGGCGAGTGAGTAGCCTGCCAGACCTTGGCTGGCTTTGTAATGTTTCTTCACAGCTTGATGTATTAAAAAAATACAATACTCTACCTTGACTCACATCCCTGTTGGTCGATTCCATCACGATTACCAATACGCGTGGAATTTCCATTCTCGGCCATGCCACCCACTCTGAAAGTGTTGAAATGGGCCCCTTCCATTCTTCGTGCACCCTGTTGAACGTTTTGTGGCGGCGTAGGATTAACCATTATAAACTGACCTACTGCATAGAGGGCGCTTGAAGACCTCAATCGAATATACAGGGGGGCACATTTCGTTGTTGCCACAGAACCTTGAAGCTCGGAACGCAACGCACCCAAGAAGAGACGCTAGGGGCCTTTGAAGCTAGCCCGCAATCACCATCTCCACACTAACCGCTTGATGCGACCGTGCCGTAAATGCCGACTTTTCCACCCCGGCATCGGGACCAACCAAATCGATGTGTCATCGCTCGGATAGTTCCCGCATGGCTCTGGACTTGGCTCGGAAGGATCGCTGATGTGATTGCCCCTGCTCCACCCCTAGGGAAAGAAAAAAAACAAAACGGACAAATAGGGATAACAAGGAAATGCTGGACTCCTACATAAACGTTTGGGATGACCTCACCATTTCGGCTAACAATCCCCTTGCGAACGAACCAGAGCTGCCAATTGACCTAGCTACCAACCTGGCATGCTAGAATATCTCTGGGATGCGCAATAGCCAGGAGAACTCCACCTAAATCCCTCAGCGCGTCACGTTCGTCTCGGATCCGGAGACATGGCGGACCTAGAAAAGAAGGACGACACCATCGCGGGCACCGATTGCGAGGGATCCGACAAGATGTCCGCGGAGGGGATGCAGCCCTCGCCTCGCCCGTCTCATGAGCCCGAACCCGGGACCCGCTCCGACTCCGAGCCCGAGCCTGTTTTTGTCGGATGGGATGGAGGCGATGATGACCCGATGAACCCGAGGAGCTTCGCCAAGGCTCGGAAGTGGGTCATTGTGCTCATCGTGTCCTCGGCGAGCTTTTGCGTGTAAGACAGTCTTCCCCGGCTAGACTAGGGCCAGCCCGAGAGAGGGGGTGGGAGATCGCTAACAAGATTGTTCCGCGCACAGGACCGCGACGAGTTCCATCTACACGTCAACGTACACCCAGATGGAAGCCGAGTTCGGCAACTCGCGGATCGTATCGGTCCTCGGGCTTTCCCTATTCGTCCTCGGCCTCTCGTGCGGACCGCTCTTCTTCAGCCCGCTGAGCGAGTTCTACGGCCGCCGACCCATCTACCTCGTCGCCTGGGTCCTGTTTCTCATCTGGCTCGTGCCGCAAGCGGTCGCCCGCAACGTGGCGACCATCATCGTGTGCCGGTTCCTCGCCGGCTTCGCCGGCAGCACCTTCCTCGCCGTGTCCGGCGGCACGGTCAGCGACCTCTTCTCCAAGGACGAGCTCCAGTACCCCATGGCCGTCTTCACCGCCTCCCCTTCATCGGCCCGTGCATCGGTCCGATGATTGGCGGCTTCATCAACTATAATCTAGAGTGGAGATGGACCTACTACGTCCTGCTCATGTGGGTATTCGCCATGCTCGTGCTGATTGTGTTCCTCGTCCCCGAAACCTTTCGTAAGTTTCCTTTTTCCTCCTCCTCCCGAAGCCTATAGCGCTCTTCATTAACGGGATACCAAGACCCAATCCTCCTCCGCAACAAGGCAAAGCAACTCCGCGCCTCGACCGGCAACGACGCGCTGATCGCCCCCGTCGAGGCCAACAAAAATCCATCCTCGCGTCCGTGGGCCTTTCGCTCTTGCGGCCCTTCCAACTACTCATCTTCGAACCCATGTGCCTAAATCTCTGTATCTTCTCCGCCATTCTCCTGGGGATCCTGTACCTCTTCTTCGGGGCGTTCCCGCTCATCTTCTCCGCAAACTACTCGTTCGAGCTCTGGGGGTCGGCCTCTCTTTCCTTGGTATCGGCGTCGGCTTGCTGATCGGCGTTGCCTCGGACCCGATATGGCAGCGCGTGCGATCGCGCCTCGTCGCCAATCTCGACGAGAAGTCTGGGGCGTCCGGCAGCAGTGAGCCCGAGTTCAGGTTACCCCCGGCTATAGCGGGGTCTTTTATTGCCCCTATAGGACTGTTCATGTTCGCGTGGACATCGTATGCAAGCATTCACTGGATAGTGCCGATCATCGGCTCTCTTTTTCGGAACCGGGTGAGTTGACCTCAGAACCTCCTTTCTCATATTGGCAATGAAAATTTTCTAGATGGAGATAAGTTACTAATAAGCCTCTCCACAGAACCATTCTAGTTTTCACGGGAATTTTCACATTTCTTGTAAGTAGCAAGATAGGAAACATGTCGTCAAAACCCAGAGCCAGGGGCTAATCTTTTTCTTCCCAAAGGTTGATGCATACCCGGAATATGCTGCGAGTGCTTTGGCGGCCAACGCCTTTGTCCGCTGCCTTTTCGCAGGTGAGTTCCATTCGGTAGCCCACACGCCAAGTATCAAATACTAGGCCTTGCGTTTCTTGGCTTCAGACTAACCGCGTCCAGCCATCTTCCCTCTCTTCGGAACCCAAATGTACGAAAGGCTCGGGTTCCAGTGGGCGTCGTCCCTGCTGGCGTTCTTGACCTTGGCCATGGTCCCATTTCCGTACTTGTTTTTCAAATATGGCAAGCGCATTAGAAATCGAAGCCGTTACGCGAAAACCTGATGATGTGGCCATCAGTCAGAGCATGGTCTGGCTCATTACGCCGGCTGGGATTCACCTCCAGATAAGCCTTGCAAAAGTGTTTATACACAATCGTATATATTGTACTACCATTATTCAGTATTAGCTCCATAGACCGCATGTATTAGATACTCCGCTATGATTTGCTTACTTGTCGTTGCCGGCTCTCGACTTCAAAAGAAAAAGCCTCGTAGATGCTTGGACGTTGTCTGTGGAGATGCATTCATGCAAGGGTGGCCCGCCCCCGAGGATGTCTCACGTTTAGTGGGGCCATTTTCTTTTCCAAGGTGTTCTTGAAGGTCACCCACCTCGTGGCGCGGATGGAGGCACAAGGGAGATGCGAAAAAGCAAAGAATGGACCCTTCTGGACGACGAGGTTGCGAGTGGGGTAGATGTGAGCAAACACAATAACCTCCACGCCGATCCTCGACATGGGGCTGGGGAGACTTTTGCCATGCTATGAATAGATTCAACAGATAACCCCGAGAGGCAGGGAAATTCTTAACGAAATAGAGGCAATTTGTTCCAAATATGACTGACTTCTGGGAAACACTCTGGGTTATGGGATATCTAACCAAGGAATGAAAGAAAGCGCTCATAATACATAGAAACAGAAGCATAGGCCGCTCATGAGAGAATCAAGAAAGAACCCATATAACCGTAACTCCTTCCAGAAGGAACACCTTAACTCATAGCTTCATAACGGGGAAGACACGAAGGACAAAGAATAAAAGAGCATGCGGTACAAACCCTTGGTGTAATCTTAAAACATGACAGCCTTAGCCCTCCGGTGTTCATTCTGGCGGCTGGAGGGGTTTTCGGCCGTAGACGATGTATCTAGAACAATCGTGCGTCAGCAACAAAGACAAAGTCGCATAGACCGATCACGCCGGAGTCCAATCTGGATCGAGGTCACCTACATGGGCCAGTAGGCATGGATCTTGGGGTCGCGAAGGTCCCCGCGCACCTTTTCGCAAAACTCCAAGGTGCGATCCGAAGTCCAACCAAGACCACGCGTGAAATGGGCGAGCGAGAGCCCCTCGAGGCCGCCGGCGATATTAGCATAGGCCCACGCGCCGAGCTCCTTGAAGCGGCGATCCCGGGGCCACGTATTGATGGGCCACTTTTTCTGGACCTCGACGACGGCCTCGAAGCCGGCCTCGCGCAGATACGTCTTGTACTCGGTGACGGGGAAAATGGGGCGGTCGCGGTTGCGGCCGGCCTCGAGGCAGAGGTCGCACCAGCGGGCGAGGTGGCTGTCGGGCGCGAGGGTGCCGTCGTCGGAGCGCGCGGGCAGGCCCATGTCCTGCATCTCGAGGTAGCCGCCGGGTTCGAGGTTGTCGAAGGCGACTTGTACGAAGCGGCGCAGGTCCTCGAAGCAGCCGAGCATCATGCGGGAGAAGATGAAGTCGAACTTTTCTGTCCAAGCCCATTCTTGCTCGATGTCGTCGATCTCGAAGAGGAGGTTTGGCGGGACGCTGTGTGGGGAAAAGGTTAGCCGGCGGTGACTTTACTTCACGCTCCCGTATCCATGAGGTTTTGTCTCCCCTTCCCACTTTTCCTGACCAACTGGCTGCCCAACTTAGGCACAAGTTGATCAACCTCGGTTTTGGAGGGGACTATACGCACAAGTCTGGCTGAATCGGACTGAGGTCTACACCGATGACCTGTAGCGAAATCCCCGAGGGCCAAAAGTCAGTTGAAAGTTTACGAGGCGAGGTGAATTCGTAAGTCGAGACGGAAACTCTTCGTATGGTGCGCGTACCGTAGACTCTGGATGTAGATCGGCTGAGGAAGATGGTTAGTGTGATGTGATGGTGCGGTCCGCAGCAGTGCTGAACAAGGCAGGAGCAGCGTACCGTAGTCAAAGGCCCAGGACCCGGTGCCGGTACCAACGTCCAGGACGCGATTAGCGCCGCTGACCTTGGGAGAGAGGCATAACGCGCCATCAAGACAGTTTAGGTACAGCTCGTGTTGAATATCTGCCCAGGTTCCAAGGCGTCAGAAGCAGGCCCCTCGAGTTTGTGCTTTAGGGCTTCAATAATACCTAATCTCTCGTTCTCGGCCTGGATAGCAGAAGGGTTGAGGTACAATTAGTTCCGTAACCAGAATGTTTGTCTACAGATCATGCAAGAAAGGTTGTTTCTTCTAGACATGGTCTGCTCACCTCGTCGTTCGGGAGCACATATTCTAAAGTATGATTAGTCCGCAAAGCCAATATGCCCCCTCTACCGTTTTAATTCATGCATGTCAGGGGAAAATGGGGCAGAACAGGGAAATGGAATGAGCATGAAAAGATGTCTCACTTACTGCCTTGGCTTAGAGCGTGATATCGTCTACCATTCTCTTCTTGGAAGGCTAGGATGCTAGGGGAATAGATAAAACGCAGGCTTCTAGGCTCTAGATATACCAGTCAGCGACGGGGATGTAATCGGCTGCGCTAAAAGCAGCTACTATGCGCCGCCGCTAAAGGCGACGAATTGGATTTATCGATGTGATTGGCCTACTTCACCAAGAGCCGAGTCCTCGTCGTCGTTCTCGGTGTCATCGGCATCCTACGAGGTTGGAGACAGTGTGAGGGCTGTGATCGCGAACGGCGACGCGCGACGCGCAAGGAGAATGGGAGGACGAACAATGGTATCCTGGATCTGTTGGGATTCCACGATTGGGAAAGGCGTGTGGGATCGCGACAAGGCCTGGTTTGCGAGCTCCTGGGCGGAATATGAAGGGTTGTCTGTCATCGCGGTGGGGTGCAAAAGAATAGCGGGATTATAGCGCCGGCCGGAGAGGGGCGGAGTGCACCCCGTCCTGTCCTGCCTGACTCTCTCGATGTGGATTCGATAGGGAAAGGAAAATCAGAAAAGAAAAGAAGAAGAAGACAATACTCCTTCCCTCTACTTATCGAGCGCAAATCTCACAAAGAGCAGCGAAGGGAGCATACCTGGCAATGAAGGGGTGGACGAGGAAAAGAAAACGATGGAGCGGGCAGAGGACATCGATCGATTGATCAATCGATATTATCATTGTCCCTTGTCCCCCTTCTTCCCCGGAAAGAGTCAATGTTGGAAAGTGGGGGAGGGGCAACTCAACTCATATGCGTGTGTGCTCGCGTGCGCTCGCGTGCGGCATTAGCGTGCTCCGTTTACAAGCTCCCTGAGCGAATCTAGAACACAATGGAAATTGATTGACATTCACCCATGGCTCTATCCCCTGATAAATCAATTTCGACGACGGGATCTACTCGTAAACTGCCCCTCCCGCTTCCTTGGCCGCCGCCATCAATTTCACGACTACTGTGTACTGCGCGCCCATCGAGCCACGAGTGCCCATCGCCTGCCCCGACGACAGTGTCGCGGGTTGCCGCCAAACACGTCCACTCACACCCCGTCGTCCTCATGCAGTCAGCCTTTGTCGGGGAGCAGACCGATACGACTGAAGAAAACACAGACTTTTCCCCCAGATATCAATGGTTCGACGCAAAGAAAAGAAATTATTTATAGCCTTTTCATCGAGTGGAATTTAGTTACATGGGGGCTCGGGCACGGAAAACCTAACTTGCGCCCGGTCCCTTGCGGATAAGCCGGCGAGACCGACTTGGCCTCCCTCTCCAGCTCAAATCGAGTCTCTTGAACGAAGCCGATGTCCCCCGGCGGTTGAAGGATTCTGAATGATGACCCGCATCCGCGCTTCCATACCCACGACGTCCTAACCTTGATTTGGGCTTTACCCCCACCCCATGCTGGTTGGTTTATGGGGTGTTGTACGATGGACTCTGGCCAGGTCCCTCCGCGTTGGGCAAGAGAGCGACACCGAAGAGTCCTGGAGAAAAGATGCTGGTGAGAAAGTGTCTCGCGATTGAGCCGAATCATTGATGCTTACGATGCGCATCGACCCTTGTTCGCGGTATCCGAACCCCCTGCGGGCTGCTTTTAGGCCCCTTGTCCGTCTCATGGCCGAGCGTCGTTCGCCCAACTTCATACCTATAGGATCTACGGATGATACACACGGCAACAAGGCGCGAGTTCAAACAAGGGAAGCTGCATGGTGAATTTTTGTCCACCTTGAGCCCTCTCGGCCCTCGACCAACCCTACCTTTGCCCCATAAGCTAGAGGGTCTATGGTGTGATCGGATCCCTTGCAAGTTGCACTTGCATTGCCGATAATAATTTTCGTGCGTCTTGAATTGATCTATCGAAAAAAGTATAAAAAGCAGTAACGACACGCATTGTAGGCGAGCTGTCCACCGCTACATGTACCTTTGGAAGCCAAGTGAGACCTCGTGAGAAAGGTTTTGTTACCTTTTTCATTCAATATTTCTCTTTGATCCTCTCCATCTCTAGCGAGCCCGGAGGTTCGGGCCCCGTGAAGAAAAGAAAAAGAAGGAGAAGAAGGCTAGAACGATGTGCATGCATCCTTTTGTTCCATCGGCCCCTCCAAGTCGGCATCCTTCCATCTCGGCATCCCTAGGGTCGGGATTGAATATTACATACTGATCCCGATCTAATGGGTCAAGTAAAATCAACTCTGAAAAAGCAAATGCTAAATCTTTTAAAATAAACGTTCAATTGTTCCTGTTTCCATGCTTTCCGGTCCCCTTCCCGTCTGACTACTACCCAAGACACGAAATCCGAGTAATCAAGCACCATCCCATCCCCCATCCCCCTTCCCCCTGCGACGCTGGCAGCCATGAAAGGCTCACGCGGGATATCAGCTGCGCGGCACGCCTAAAAGAAGGCGTCCCCCGGCCCCGCTATATGCTTCGCGGACTACATTTGACGTGCTTCGATTCCGCTCTATCGCGCTAGCTAATGCAGAATCGCTCCCCCCTCCTCCTCCTCCACAACACTCAATTCGACGGCTTTCTCTCTTCCGCTTTCTTTCCGGGGTTAGCCAAGTAATATCAAGTTGCGATTCGCATGCGCTGCACTGCCTCCTTAAACTTTGGACGAGAAAAAGATCAATGGATCCATCTCCACCCCCTCCCCAAGCCCAACCTAAATCATGATCCCCTAACTCCGATCCTGAACCCCTTGTCTTGGGGGCAGTTTCTTGCTTGCTACCCCTTCCTACCCGGGACCGAAAGCGAGAGCGACGCTGAGCCATTAGTGCGGTGCAGATCGCAAAAGGGAAGGCATTCATGCCCGAGCAAGATTTATCAACCTCGTGGACGAAAATGGGCCAGTTGGCGCAGACGGGGCCATATTCGCGGAGTACGTCAATGTCAACATAATGAGATGGCTGAACCAGTGTATATCTCGAGCTCCATCTTTGGAAAGTATGTATGAACATCTTATTCCAATCGAAGATCACTGTCAGTGCACATTGAATTACGAGATATCGACCGAGCTATGTAAGCCAGCTCGACGATAAGCCGTGCTTTTCATCACATACAAACTGTTGACCGATTGAGCTCGCGACTGGCTTACGGAAACGATGGGACGTGGTTGGTTGTTCAGTTCAGATACCAGCAGGGTATAGCGCGATGCCGCCTACCCGTCCGGGGCAAGGATCGTGGCTGTGGCTGTGTCCTCACTTCGCCAATGATTTGCTTTTCCCAGCCCCCAGCACCCACGCCTCTGCGCCGAAAACGGTCGTTGGACAGGGCTGGCCACGGTGAGGAGTTCGGACAACTCGCCTTCTTCTCCTCACTTCACTCTTCAATACAATACGCATTTAAGGATTATCCGGGCCGCCGTCCCCGCAGAAGCGCGATGTTGGCGGTTTCTTGTTTGTTGATACTGTCCATTGCCGCGCGATGGGCCGCCGCAGAGTGCTACCTACCCAACGGCGTCGATCGAAATCAGGCCAAGAGCGCCGGCAGCTTTTACGAACGATGCAACAACGCCACGGATGTGAGCATGTGCTGCAACACGGGGCTCGGTGATATCTGTCGGGAAAATGGACTTTGTTTCAACCCAAACACCGAGCAAGTCTGGCGCGAGAGCTGCACGGATCCCACGTGGAAGTCGCCCAGCTGCCTGAAGCTGTGTGTTAGCGATATCCTCAGTGAGTCTTTCCATGTGAGCCGTCTGTATCCGTGCCGGCTAACACGTCGTTTCAGATTCCGAGGGCGTTGCCATGCTGAGTACAGACATAATGATCACCATTTGTACCGATGGAAGCCTCTGCTGTGGTAGCCGGGATGTCACAGAGGATTGCTGTCGGGATGGCTCTGGCTTCGTGATTAAAGATGGCGAGGTTGTAGCGGCATCGCAGGATAATTCGTCGCCCGACGACAAATCTAGCTCCGGGCCCGACAAGGCAGTGATTATCGGCGCGGTTCTCGGCTCGGTCTTAGGAGTCGTGCTCATCGTCCTCGCTGCGCTCTTCATACGGCGGAAACGCCGCGGCCGAAAGCCCCGCCCGTGCAGAGTACCCCTGATGAGACGACTGACGTTGCCACCGCTACGCCCACAAAAGGACCCAAGGCCTTGTTCACGGCTCCAGTTGAACTACATGCGTCCCCGAAGTATGTTGAGAGATTTGAATTGGATGATGGGAGAAGACAGGATAAATGAGTTTACAACGAGACCATGTAGTCCGGGTTGTCAATACAACTTCTTTATGACTCGGCCCTTCTCTTATCCTTGCATATAGACTTCAAGTAATACTGCCAGGTCTGTTGGTGGCACCCATCGATGATATCAATTTTGCACGAGTCGCGCAGGTAGAGGCAATCAGCATGGTCCATCTACCTCTCGCCGTGTGGAAAAGTTGACTAGTTTCCTGGAGGAAAGCGAGGCTATCTGCAAGTTGGACGTCTTTGTATATCACCATCGTCATCTTGCACACTACACAAACCAAGGCACTGGGGTAGGGGACTGCACCATATTCCACCAGCCCAACTGGGAATCTCGACTCCCTCGCAGATCCATCTGTTTCCAATACATTTCAATGATACCCCTCATCACTCGAATATTTCCAATATTCCGTACGCTCTCCATCTTATCGAGCATGTTGAGAAGCACGATTCGCTGCTCCTCGGACTGCACCTCACATGCAATAACGAATACCGGCCAAGGACTGGTGGCTGTCTGGAGTAGATGCAGAGCCCTGAAGGCTTCCACTAGGTAGTGTTGTCGACGGCCGTCGTCCGATTGTGTAGGGCAGGCTCGCTGGAGATAAAGGCACGCCGCAAGCCGGTACAACTCAGCCGTCGTGATAACGCGACTCCACCTAGCCGATACCGCGTAGCCGTCTTCTTCGGGGCCCACTCGCTGGATTAAGCCGAGGAGTTTTGACTCAAGGCTAGTCCGAGATCGCGTCATTTCCTGGTCAGCCGTACCTCCGCCTCGCCCCATATAGCGGTCCCGTAACTGGTTGATCTCGCGGATAATGCCAAAGAGCTCTATTGAGCAGCCAAGAGACCCTACAATCTGAAGTATTGGTTAGACAAGGCCGTAGAGGGAATGGAACATGTGAGTCTACCTACAACAGAAGTGTCCATCTCGAAACTCTGCATCACGGAGTGTGTAGCCTCCTCATGCCAATGAGGCTTGATTGACTGGGTGAACTCGGCAAGGACATCATAGTAGATGAACCACGCTAGGAGAAAATCCGAAAGTCGGGCTGTCGTGCGAAGGGAACGGGCGAGGGCTAGCATTCGACGGGCGCCGCTCAGGTGTACATACCAATTTCCTTCCTCACTGTCAAACACCTAGAGCATAGTTAGAATCGTACATACGGTCCATTGTGTGGGAGTCCAAAACGCACACTATGCATACTTAGCATCAGACAAGCCGCAAATTGCGCGTCGATGGAGTGGCCGTTTTGGCAACCAGCTTCAGATATGGACTTCGACAGGTATTTCAAGGCCTTGAGCTTATAAGGAAACGCGGCATCGCGGCCGAATTGGTGAAATGCCGATATGGAAAGCAAGGCGTAACACAACGACTCGGAGGTTGCTGACCGGCTGTTGAGTGCCATGGGGAGTATCTCGGTGCAAAAGCCGTTTTGGCCTCGCGTGGTCGAGATCATTGAGGTTATGACGTTCTTGTCTGAGTTACGCCTCCTATTAAAGTTGTGTCCAAAAAGTGGGAAGGGGGTGACACAATACGTGCAGGGCGAGATACACCTCAACATACAGTAATCAAGAAGGGTGGCATCCTGGCCGATCAAGGTCGGATGTAGTGAAAGGGTCCTACTAAGACGAGGGCGTTGTGCACTTAGAATGCCCATTGCGACTGTTTCCGATTGCAAGAGAGAGATATCCCGGAAATCGAAATTCAGGAATTGCTTCCCGTACCATGGCGGACGGGGCGGAGTAGCGTAGAAGCCATGGCTCTTGGGGTCATTTTTCGACGCCTCCCATCCAGGGATTCAGGCCAGGAGAGGCGGACTCCATAACCTAGACAATCTCTCTCGCTGCGGCGGCAATTATCACAGGAAGGCAGGCCTCGGTCACAGCCAATCTTGCGTTCTAGCTCTATTGTTAGCCACGGAATACTAGAGAAATTCAACTTGGAAGGTTCGTCTTAGGCCCGAGCTCACTCTTGCATGTCCAACAGCCGTTGGCGGGCCTAGGAGGCCCCATTATCGGATGAGGATTCGGCCGCCTGTGACCATACTAGATGTGTCTATAAGGTTTAAAATCTATCCATGGATATGTAGGAGGGGATATTCCGCGCACTGAAGACGGCAAATCGGAGGAACGGCGCCCGACCTGTTTACTGAGTCACCTTTGCATACACGTGAAAAACCTAGTCCATTCAGGTGAAAATAATGGGTTCCGTTTTTCCGTGTTTGGGTTCGTCATCCTCGATTCCACTCCTCTCTCGGAAAGGAACAGTTTTTGAAAGGATCTCACTAAATCCACCCTAGACAGGATCGAATTGTACCTCCAACAGAGGACGCACGCTCTGCGAAAATGCAACTGGGAATCAACGAAAACCCGCCAGATAACGGCAAAAGCGGCCGATTCCCTTTAAACTACTTTCGCGGATGCTTTTCAGCAAATAACCAATGGATAATGAATGTATTATTTTGAAGATGACTATTATCTACCCAGCAGTGTCTTGACTGGACCGCTTAATTCCCCATATACACCACAATGCACAGTCCTCCATCATACGGGGCAGTCGTTCTGCGGAAGTTGTTGGCTGGGTCATCAAAATAAGCCCGTAGATCCTTGTACCCCGAGGCCGCAGCATCAAAGTTGTCAACAACGACCAAGGCACCAGGCCGGAGTCGGGACTTGACAAGAGAAAGCGCAGGGAGTGCCAAGGGAGTCCAGACTAGTTCACGGATCATTAGTACAGCCATCTCCTTGCTGTTTGCGAAGGGGAACTGCTCAAAGATGAATAATGTATCTTCAGCAACTTACTATCGAGAAGGACGAAGTCAACCTGTTCAGGCAAGCCCGTCTTCAACGTCTCACGCAAATCGCCCTCCCTCAGCTCAATCCAGGGCTCAACCTCGACACCAGCCTTCTTCCAATTCTCCCGAGCCCGGGCCGCCTTGTGCGCTTCGTTCTCGGTGGCAATCACCTTGCCGGGGGCATTCTGGGCCGTGGCGTTTTGCCCGACGGCGAGCGCGAGGTAGATGGTGCTCACGCCAAACGAGGTCCCCGCCTCGACGACGTGTCGCGCGCCCGAGGTTCGTAGGAGAAGGTACACGAGGGCGCTCTTGTCCGGGTCCAACGCGACGAACTTGTCGAGGGCGACGGACAGGTCGTTGTTGGTACTGACAAAGGGCTCCTCGGCGAGGGCCTCGGCATGGAGGTCCCGGAGGAACTGGAGGGTGGGGGCGCTACCTTGTAGCGAGGCAATTACCTTATCGAGAACGGGATAGTCCGACATGATACTCGGAGGTGATGGAGAGAAGGAGATGCGTGAGGCACGAAATGAATTGTGAGGAAAAAAGGTAGATTTAGTGATTTGAATACATCAACCTCGATGGCTAGAAGTTTAGCTTTTATATCCTTCCTAGATGCACCATGTGTTGAACAAAGGTGTCATGGTGTGAGCTCGGAGCGGAGGCTTGTTCGCTTCCTCGACCCCACGTTCGATAGCCCCTCTTGCTAAACCCTCCGCGTATGGATTTCCTCCCATTCGCTAAACAATGTGCGAGCGCCCCACCCGATCGCAAACTCCTGCCTTGACAAGTCGCTACTGACTCACCAGGGTTACCATTGGCCCCTTGACATCTTAGGGTGAGAGGACGGAGGCCACAACACGGGGAGCTCGGGGAATACAGAGAGCGTGCTGCTTTCCGGCCGAGAGTTGCCGTGCGGGTGTCCTTTGCATCCCTTTGCATTTGAGCATTCTGCGTCATAAAAACCCACAATACAACAGATATTCACAAACTACATGTAGGAACAAACTGTGAGAGCTGCTATCTAGTTGCCGTTGCTTCCCATGAGTGGCTCCAAAGAATGGAATACAGGTATAAAAATCCAACTAAGACAGGGGGCCACAAAGTAAGATTCTGGCGTGGCGTGAGACAGTAAGAGAAGTAGTGAGTAGACATATAGCAATTGGTATCAGGGTTGCGATATTGATACGAGAATTGACTTTATAAGCTCTTTGGTAGTGCATGCGACAGTGGAAACTACATGTAGAATTTGCGTCAACCTCGAGGTTGCTAAACATCCATAGACTTTGAAGTTTGAATTCTTCACCAGCCATTCTCAAACTGCAGACTAACAATTCGCATTGGTCTCTTCCCCACCACCATCCATCCATTTCCCTCTCTAAACTGACGCGCTATGCCCACAGCAAACCCTTCAAAGTCTAGATCGCCGTCGTGCCCCTGCGACCCATGCAAGGTACATTTCCCACCCTTCCACCAAGCCGGAGGCGTTTTATTCCTAGCGCTACCGCCGACCATAAAAGCAAAATCGTCGATATCGTAAAATAGCTGCTTCCCTATAATCCGGAGCATCTGGGCCCCGTGGTTGTGGGCGAAGTGACTTGCACTGATACAGATACTACGCAGCCCGGGTTGTCGATTGCTAGCGCGGTCGTTCTCTCGGAACCATCTTACGAGTTGTGTTACCCTCAATGCCGGCTCCTCTCCTATCAGGACTATAGTATCTCGATCTAGAGCAGCATACAGTACCCGGCGGTCATCCAGCACAAGGTCACCGGGTTGGTCTTCACCCGACCCTCGTTTCTCCAGAGCAAGTGGCAGGGCTACCGTGTAGACACTGCGAGCGATGCTGCGGGCTTCGGTATTGACTGAGAGGGCGGCAGGGTTGTAACATCTCGACTGGAACGGCGGAGGGCGGTGACTCGCGTTATTGACGCCCACATTACTGTTATCCGCATAATGGGCTCGTCTGGAGTGCAACTCGAGCACGCGGGGTCGGAAGGATTCGGACCAGATTTGAAGGCGGATTTCGGTAGGTAATTGGGGGAAAAGATGAAACTCTTGACAATGGTGTTGTTTAGAGGTGGGACTGGCCATTCTCGGTGCGCGTGGATAACTCGTCTAGGGTTCAAAATTGCCAAGTCTTCCAACTCTCTGCGTAGATTCTGATCCGTCGGACTGGATGCGATGGAAGCGGGGTAGGTGTCCATCGGTGATTGGATCTTAGAGTCTCAAGCTCAGCCTCTTTGCTACACGGCAGTTGCTCTAGGACTTCAGCAGGAATCGCACCCGCTTATGAAACTGGTGCAGCGATAGTCAAGACAGCCGGTTTCTTTTACACAGCATGGAGGATGTCAAGAATTCGGAGTCTCTGCAGTGACCTCATGGGTCTGAAGTGTGGCATGACAGATGAAAGCCGCGAATGCGACATATGGATCAATAGTTAATGTACCTTTTGAACGCTTTAAATAGAAGGGACGCCCTATAGGTGTTGCTGATAGACCCATAATTCAAGATCCGTCGTCAAAACGATTCGGAGTCATCGGCGTGCACCCATTCTATGGGTCCAAGAGCAGCTCTTTTTCTGTCACCGCGCTTTCTCTTCGAGCCACAATATGAAGAGCGGCCAAGACGACTATCTACTTGCAGATACCGAAGATGTTGTCACTAATTTAGTTGAAGGTCAGACACTAGATGGTAATATACGATATGGATCAACTAGGGTGACGGAAATAGATCCACAGGCTGCGGCGAGGATCAATGTTAAACCCCACTATCCAACAGACATTCACAACTTACGAAGTAGGAACAGACCGTGGGAGCTGCTATCTAAATGCCCTCGCTCCTATGAGTCGCTCAAAAGAATAGAATACGGTTATAAAAACCTAACTAAGACAGGAGATTACGGGGAAGGGCTTGGCGTGGGACAATAAGAGAAAGAGTAACCGGATAACACATAGCGGTTGCTATCTCTACGGGTTCCATGCACCATAACAACCGATATGTACTCTCTAGGCTGCATATGAATCTCTTATGGGCGATTATAGTATATATCTATAAGAAGATAAAGAGAATATAATAAGGGATAATAAGCGAGGAGAAGTAGAGTAAGATTAAAAACAATATATAATCATTTTTTAAAGAAAAATATGTAGATATATTATTATTATTATTACACTATTTCACTATCTCTATATAGTATATAGTCCCTCTACCCTTTTATAGTGATAAGGTAAAAACCCCTAAGGTGCCAAAACCCCTATCCTCGCTATCCACCCGCCCTCGGGGTGTCCTCACTACGCTCTCGGCCTATTATAGGTCTGCTCTCGTCAGCGGTATATGGCTATAGGTTCGCTACACCCCTCCCCCTAGCTAGGTAGCGATCTATCTAGGGTCCTACCACCGCACCACATCCTCTATTTCTTCTGCCGCCGCTCACCCGCCGCACGCCATGCTAGCCCTCCGGCCCCCGGCCTCCCGGCGGCCCTGCCGGGCCCGACCGCTTACCCGCCCACCTTGGCTGGGTGTGGCCAGCTGTAGTCGCTTCCCCTCGCGCCTTCCGTCCCTGGGCTATGGCCTGCCCAGGGGTCCTCTCCCTGTGGTCGCGCCTTCCTTGGACTCCCTGCAGCCGCTCCTTCCGCTGGTCTCCCTGCAGTTGCTCCTTCCGCCGGTCTCCCTGCGGTCGCGCCTTCCGCTGGTCTCCCTGCGCTAATATATATATGCATAATCATCTACCTATCACCACATCAGCAGATTAATAGGGAACCTATTAGCAGTAAGATATAAGCTGACAGACTCAAGTAAAGAGCTAAGGTGGTATAAGCCAGCAGTAAGATGATATATCTACATAACTCGGCCTATCTACGATCATAAGTACCAACCGCCACGATCATGTCAAGTACACGATCACCTAGGGTAATCATTATAAGAGAGCTATAATCAGTCCTAGTAGAAATCCAATTACTACTTCGAAAGCCGGTTTCGTTTTAGGGTGGTCTCTATATCGGGGGGCACGATCAGGGCGTGAGCGGCATAGTTAAGTCGTATAATCCTAACGCTACCTAATACTAACGCGGCTGGCCTAAACATTAGAATACTACATAGATGAGTGAAGCCCTCGTTTTATCTAAGCAAATTAATTATGATTCTCTGTGTCTGCTGTGGGGTTCCGTTTCCACGTATATACATAGTAAAACACACATGGAGTGAGAAGAATTATTAAAAACGTATATATCCCGGCGTGTAAACGGATCGCAGAATAAGGTAGCACATCGTCCGGCCCTGATAAAAGTGCTGTCATAAAACCGGTACTAAAAAGTCCCTACGGCACATATTAACATTCTCGAGTTCACTAGATTATTCCCTTTCTTGCTCTTACGGTGATGAATGTAGCAGGCAGAAAGATCAAAGTGATAACTGCTATAAAACTCATCATCTTTGACTCTTTCTGCGTAGCGCGGGATATTTGGACAAGGAGGGCCTGGTCTTCTTTACTATCTCTCGCTAGTGCTGCCATCGCTCTCGTGTTTTCTGCCATCGTCTGTGTCTGTTTAGTGTTGACGATAGTTGCTGCCTATATAGTCGTCAGCTTTGGAGGTCTCCTCGTTCATCGTCAAAGTGAACGGACTAAGTTTGATATCTGTTTTACTCGATCAACTAATATTTCCGCATGCGAGAAAAGTGTTCGAACTTGTGAGGCGCAGGTCCAGAAGGCACTATCCTCTTCGTCTACGAGGAAACCGTCATCGAGAACCTTACACGTGCGTTGTATTCCTCTAGGTTCTCTCTAACCGAGCTGAGGTTAGAGAGCGCCTTATAGGCCAGTTCTGAACAGAATTGTAATTTTTTGATACTATTTGAAGAGATGGAGATGCTGTCATCCGGCCGCCAGACACGAATTCGCTGGCTCTGTTGAAATCGATTCATTAGAAAAGATTATTAGTCCTGTATTATCATATAAATCCACACGTATACAAACCTCTATATTCAGTAACATGGCCACAAAACGGAGGTGTTCTGCCCAACCTGACAACGACGATGTGAAAAGTGAGATGTGTGCGTGTATGCTGTGCGGCCTCGCCAGATAGCCCTCGAAGATAGATTTGGGAACTAAGAGAGCATTTTGGTGGGGTTGGAGTATAATCCAGAATGATCTATGGCCTTCACGCCTGTGGTAAACGCCCATCTTACGGAGAGACCAAGGGTAGTCCTCACCCTTCCAGGGTCCTGCCATATAACGTATCACATACATGAAATCTAGTTGTAGATGAAAAGTCAAACCGTGTTATCACGTACATAATCTGCAGTAGAGTACTTTACCTACGAACGTGGCACTGTTTTCATTTTCTCGTCGTCCTTCGTTTGGCCGATGTTTCATCTGCACATTATAGGCGCAGGGGAGATCGGTACCCGTTTCGTCATCTGGAGCCCCGAACTCTTTCATGATATTCAAGAACCCTTCGTCGGCCCCGGTAACTGACATGATCTGTACTAACGCTTCGCTCGAAAGTTTAACTGGCGCCCAGGTATACTCTTGAAACAGGAAACTTCATCACCAGGAGCACTCGAAATTAGACCTTGATAATGAGCACTTTAGAGAAAAGTGTCCTAATCACTTACATGAAGGTAAAGCCTTTGTGTGCAAGGTGTTCCTAGGTTTTGGCGTTAGAGCGATTATTTGCAGGCGTATCTTTCTTCGCCTGAAGATTAAGAAGAGTGCATACGCGAAGCTTAGCCCCGAGGACAACTTCGTCGGTAATATCAGCCTGATGTAAAGCAAAATTCCCATCTATATCTGGCGCCACTGTCTCGATTCGGACTTGTACATTATCGGCATCCAAAAGACGTGGCTTCGCTTGAGTCAGGCGCTCCACCAAGCCTTCAATTTGACTCAGGGATGACGTTGGCGTTGAACGAGTCAGTGGAAGCGCCATGGCTCACGACACACAAGGAGCGTTTAATGCCAATCGGGGTTTAGGGAAGCTCGAAGCTCATGAGAATCCTTATCCCTATTAAATACTTGAGTCTGCTCCTCGATACCATAGCAAGCTATCATAGCGACGAGAACTCAGGTATCCTAGGTTTGTGTCCAACTACAGTAGGTCACATTTGCTTTTTATTATGAATGGGACCCACTCCACGTGTTCATATAGCTTACTAACTAATGTGTGAGTCACCGAATGTGAATGATGAGGCCCCGGGTCGGGCTCAACAGAGCCCTGAGTGATCGGGCCGTGCCCAGGTGTCACGTGTGAATAGAAAAATGATGGGAAAAGGATCTGAATGTGTATAGGTGATGGAAGATCGGGAGAGGAAAGACTGGAACCGTCAAATACCATCTTTCGGATCGGGAGTCGGTAATATCCGTCTTCTAGATCCGTCGGAAACCGGTATCCATATCGGATATCTGTTTCCACAACGGATATCTATTTCCGTGACGGACTTCTATTTCTGGTAGGAATGCTTCCATCATCCTTCAACACAAGGATTTATTAGAGAAGGAATCTCTTCCTAACTAGAGAAAAGAACCAACCTTTTTATCGCCTTACATCTTAGTACCATACCTTCCATCATGACTATTGTATCTTGTAAATAAGTAATACCTAGCGACCCTTGAGGATTGGCAACCCTCGTAGCGACTCAGAGATCACCATATCTCTCCAACGACTTACTGATAGCTTGGTTGTCAGCAAGCCAGTTGGCTCGACCTTTGGTCGTAACAGAAGGGTTTTACCTGTAGAGATATAACTGCCACATATTTAGGTATAAATATAGGTAATGCTATCCTTTTTTGCACTTAGTCGGGTGGCCCGCACCGTAACAGCATAAGCTATATTTTACGAAAATAGCTATAGTCTTTATTTATGAAAAGAAAGAATCATTTCAAAATATTTTAAATAGTACTACAAACAATGACTATACACTGCCTATAATTAATCCCGATATTCTATCTATAACCATCTTATACACTTGCTTAGTTTAGTAGTAATAGGTGTGAGAAAAGGTGATGTTGGTGGGAAAAGTACAAATAGATGGAGCCTCCGACGAGTATGTCGCTGGCTACATGTAACTAATACGATACGAAAAATTATCCACATAGTCCCCCGAGCGAGAGCTGCATATTCTCTCTCGTCGGGCCCTATACTATATATCTCCATAAGCCTAATACTTATATAAGATATCTACTAACCTAACTATGCTTTACATTTGAATAATTGATCCACAACATTCTCCCTGAATTGTTTTCGGATATCTACCTTTGATATTCCACCCGCTACGTCGGCTGTGAGGCAGAACTCCACCACTTTTTGATAGATGCGACCGGTTTTATGCCCTAACATAGGTATATACGAGGCTAGTAACGTCTCCATACGTAAGCTACTAGACTCCTCTAGCCGGGAGTCCGTTTTTCCTATCAATGCCATTGTTTGCCACAGACCAAGTTCTAGGAGCACGATACCTAGGCTATAATAATCGAATGGCATCGAGAAATTAGTATCTGGTAGGTATTTAGGGTGTTTATAATACTTAAAGCCATCCTTAGGGCCTAAGGTATACTTAAGTATATCTGGACGACTATCGTTAAAGCCGGTCAGAATCGCATGTTTTGTATCCTGCGCATACGCAGCATTTGGACTTGTAGCAAATACCAAAAGTTGGTGGGAGGATATATTTTTGTGTAGCCAGCCAGCTCGGTGGACTGCTAGGAGGCAAGAGGCCAGATTATAGGCCAACTGAAATATGTCTCCAAGGTCAGCTGGTGGTCCGGCGGCTTTACACCGACTTCGAACCTCATTCGAGAAGTCGTCCTGATTTAACTCTCCGCTTTGTACCTTGTCGTCTACCGCTTTATCGATCTCGTCAAACGAAGTCAGCCGTATGATGTCATGGATTGACAATAAGCTCGGTAGGCAATCCTGTATTGAAGATCTAAGGCGATAGACGAATGCGAATCGCTTGGTGTTTTCGTCAAAAAATAGCCCCTGCACTCGGGCACTCGTGTTCTGACAGTCTCGGGTAATTCTGTGATATGCGGGTCGAGTAGATTGACGAGGCTATTGATGATATTCAACTGGTCTTCTCCGCGGCCCTCCCATCGGTTGGAAAGTTCCTTCCATTCAATGAAGATAGGCTCTTGCGCCTGATGGTCTTCAGGAAAGTACCACCCCGTCTCTTTAGAGGTATCAGCTCTCATAATATAAGCAGACTCCCTGTTTTATTTAGTTTTATACAATCTCCGTTGAGATTTCGTTGCTGGTTTTGCGCATTACATGGCCTTTCAATTGCCAGCATCACCTCTGCCATGGCTGCGCTTAAGCCTACCTCGCGGTATCGATCGATTAATGGGAGTTGTGTAAGAGAATTCAAGAGCTCTTTATCATTGTATAAATCAGCAACGTCGTCGGCCCAGAGTGAAGAGATATCTGTGTGCTCAGGTGGGAGAATTCTGCATAGGTTGTCAACAGCCGCGATAAAGTCTGTCGGCAATCCACTCGTTGTTATTTCCACCCTTTTCGTATCCTCGTAACGCTTTAAAATTTTTGAGATAGACTGGAGCGCCGCGAGAGCGCCATGATTAACGATGAACGCGCCATCGATTCTTTTGCACTCGCACCACCAGGTCCTGATTCTTATTTTCTCTAGCCTGAGGAAAGGGCGGGCAAGGCGGCTCAATGCCTTAAAACTATCCTCCACTGCAAAATAAACAGCGTCCAGAGCTAAGAGCTCCAACTCTGTTGTGACCTCTGATATTTGGGAATTAGCGACGCCGTCGGCTGTCCTCATTAACTGGCGAGCGACCCTTAGTAGCCGTGGTGTTAAGTTGACGCTGCTGTTTGTCTCTAATGATTCAAGCCATTTTCGGACTGGCTCACAGATCTGGCCATTGGAATGGAATTCGTGGACTGTATCATTCGAGCCATTTCGAGTGTGTGTCACCTTCCGGACTTCCCGGAAATCGCTTACACTACGGCCTTCCATAACCGTCGCCAATTCAGTTAGGATACAGCCAAAGGCCCAGCAGTCTGACGCACGACCTACTACTTGACGACGATTATTATCAGAGTTCCGTGGTCCGGGAGGTAGGTAGTCATCGTCGCCACCTCGGCGAGGGGTCTTCGAGTCTTGGTCTAGTGACTTCAGCCTTGATAGCCCAAAATCTGCAAGGACAAACTTCCCGTGCAACAAAAGTATATTTCGTGGTCGCAAGTCATGATGACACCCCTTCCTTTTGATCGCGTCGGAAGCACCCTGTGCTTCGAGCGAGAAGTTGTGTATCTTGCTAATAGCGTGGGCGAGGCCGGAAATGGAGCTGTATATTTCGTGGATCTTCATTCCGAGGTAGCGTTCTTTGCGCATGAAATGCCTGAGGTCTCCATCGGCGAACGGAAATATTAGATTAAATTCCCCAAACCACCCTCAAATTGGTAAGAGCCCAAGTACTGGATGATGTGATCATCCTTTAGCTCACGAAGCAATTTCAATGCAGCATCTTCTTCAGCCCCTTCGATGTGCGATTCCATAACTTTGAGGGCTAAGTATGGAGTCTATAACCAGTCAGTTTCGGATCATAATAGTAGGTTGGATGCTTTGGAGCATCCATTCGCTAAACTCTAGTTCGTACCTCATGACCGGGTTGAGGGTTCAAGTCGGGATGGAACTGGACCTTGAACACTTTGCCATACGACCCCCGTTCACACAGCTCGGCGTTTACGATAGGGACAATCGCCTCCTTGTCCAATATCATATTCTGGGCCGGGGAAAGCTCGACTGGACAGAATGCCCACTGGCTAATAAAGAAGGACTGACGAACAGTTTCCGACAAGAAATGTAAGGAATCCAGAGTTCTAGGCATTCTGCTGTCATCGTCGTGTCGATAATAGAATTCCAGGATATGAGATTCATTCTTGTCAACGAGAAGAGTAGCGAACAATTTTAGGCTGGTTAAAGCAATTCGGTCTGCAATCCGGGTTAAATCTCTATCATTATCAAAGATTCCCGTTAGGGATGAGAGTAACGGAGACAAGCCTTGATATCCGCGGGTTGAATTGCCTGTGCGAGTTGTTTTGGTGAGTAAAAGTATATTGATTCCCTCTTATCCTTCGTCTTATTTCTCAATTTCATGACGCGATTTCGCAAATGATCACTCGGATCCGCGTTCATAATTGAAGATATTTTTAACAGATCAAGTTGAATAAGATAAGAGTTGTGTTGAGGGGTATATCTGAGCTGTTTGATAGTAACTTCCGTTGATAAGTGGCGAGGAGATATTTTATAGCCCTTGCTTTCCGTATTTTATGGAAATAAAGAATGAGAGAGACATATTATGAGGTTATGCGTTTGGCATCAATGCAGAACGCCTTGATGCCTAAAATCAACATCCGTGGAGGCTGGAAATAACAGCTTCATGAGTGGGCAACTGTCTTTGGATGTGAAATGTTGGTGGTGCATTGGGTAATCCTCGGGGAGATGGTATTTTGGACCCACAGGGTGCCTCTGAAATAATTACTTGCTGTTATCGGCGGCACGAGGAGCCGCTAAGGCGGACAGGAACGGCGGAACAGGGACTCTAGGTCGGTCAAGACTATCCCGAGTTTGGAAAACTGCGGTCCACTATAGGCCGCACATGTTGGTACGAAGGAGATATATAGTCTAGGCATCGACCGTAAGTCAAGGTAAGCAGTAGAAGTCTAGTCTCGGGAAGAAGACTTGTAGATATAAGGAAGTAAGTATTATGCTAATAGAGGCTGCTAGTAAATAGACTTCAAGAAATAAAAGTTTTATATTTATTTAGTAATCTTTTTGAATGATATCTAATTTTAATGCTTATATATATATTATAGATGACAGGTGATAGGGGTTTTAGCACCTTAGAGGTTTTTGCCTTATCATTATAAAAGGGAGGAAGGACTATATACTATAGAAAAGATAGTGAAATAGTGTACTAATAAAGATATTTTATATTATTATACTAGTTGATCACTGAACTAGACCGTCAATATTCGCTAACTTGTTACGACAAAAGTCGTGCCGCTTGTGTGACGTTCCAACACTAGGGCGTATTGCTTAGGGTTAGGTTGTGTTAGGGTTAGAACAGTTGGGGCCTGTTAGTGGCTCAGTGAGGCAATCAAACAGTACAATAATATCGTTATCCGTAATGCGTATTTAAGTGTAGGGGTCAAGTGTACTTGAATTGACTACTAGAAAGGATATAGAACCTCCTTTCCTCTAAGGTTTACTTACTTCCTTATATAGTTAGTGACTTATCTAGGACTATAGCTTCCTAGTTATGGTCCTTATATAGACCACAACTTCCCATAGTGTGGTCCTTATAGGACCACACTATCTTCCCATATAGTCCTTCCAGGACCACACTATCTCTTTATATAGTCCTTTCCTTACTAGCTAGTTACTACCTAAGGTTCTGCCTTTTACTACTATGTTTCACTGCCTTCCTGGGCCTACTTCATAGCCGCTTGTAATATAATACCTCCCCTCTTTTAGTCTTTATCCCTAAAGACCCTTATAACCTATAGCTCCCTATTCCTATTATCTTAGTAGTTGGTTCTATTCTTTCTATCCTCATATTCTTATAGTGATACTGATGCCATGATAGATCATATTTCTAAATATACATCTACTACCCTTTATAAGAAATAAGAGGGTGAAGCCCTTACTCAGTATATTTCTTCCTTTAGTGAAGACCTTAACATACCTTATTCCTAGTATTTTAATATAAGGAGGGCCTACTATATAGCCTCTAGCTCTTCCTAGTATCTAGCTTATTTAAAGGGGAAGAGGTCCTATGATAGCTCCTTAGTTACTTCCTCTTATAAGTTCCCTCCTAGCTCCTTTATATACCTTTCCTAGGTACTTCCTAACTGATAGTAGCTATCCTCACCTAGTTTCTCATACTATAATAGAAACCTGAAAGGTAGATAAGGTACTTAAGAAATTAGAGGAGTAGCTCTTAGAGCTGATAGCTTAGATTACTTATCTCTACTATTAATGGAAACTGCTTAGGGAGTATAGGGATATACTCTTTTGTCGTAGTATAGCTAGCCTATCTAAGGAGGGGAAGAGGATTCTCTAGTAGTAGAGACCTAGTAGGTAGTTAGGTAGGTTTAGTCCTTAGGGGCTATTAGGGTAATTAATTAGGATACTACTAGTTTTGATTTTGATATATCTATAGATCTTAGGGTTTCTATAGGTGCTTCTAGTAGAACTAAGCTAGAAGGTTCTAGCTCCCTTTAAGGTGTTTAATAGGTTCCTATATATTTTCACTATACTTGAAATTTTTCTATTTTATTAGGTATTTGATTTTTCTATTATTATTATAGCTAGAGTTAAGGATTTTTCTACTTCTTACTTATCTTCTACTAATTCAACTATGATTAACTCTTCTATAGGTATATTATTATATACTAGTTCTAATAATGATATATAAAAGATAAGGTATTTAAGTCCTATTATAGTTAGTAACTCTAGTTTATAGTTAACTTCTAAAATTTTTCATTTAATAATAAATAGTCCTAGTTTTTTATAATTAAGTTTATCACTTAGTCTTTTAGTAGTGATTTAGGGGTCCTTTTTCCTACTTTCTTTTAGAGTAGGTAGACCTTACTCCCCTCCTAAAAGGTTAGTCTTTTAATCCTTTTTCGATTTATATAGCTTATTATTCTCTCTTATATAAATTTAAGTTCTATTATAAGTTATTAGTATAGCTTCTTTATTTATTTTACTATTATAATTACTTATTTAGCTATTAATTATTATCTTTAGGGCTTAAACCCTAGTTCTAGTTTAATTCTATAGTTTATATAGAATAGTGATATTCCTATACTTTTATATTTACTTATATTATATATATACTATGCTAATAGTAGGTACTTTACCTAGTTATCCTAGTCTTAGTTAATATAGTATTATAGGTAGGTTTTGATAGTCTGATTAACTTATTCTACTATTCCTTATGTTTCTGGGTAGTATACTATTAATAACTTATAGTATACCCCTAGTAGGTCTATAAGACTCTACTAAAACTTAGAGATAAATATACCTCCTCTATCTATATTGATTTCTTTTAGTAGGTTATAGTTAGCTAGTATCATTTATAGAAATAGGTTAGCGAACTTTAGTATATTTATTATTTCTCTATAAGGTATAAAATATATATACCTTATTAACCTATCTATAACTACTATAATGCTATCATATTTCTACCCTATAACTAGATCCTCTGATTTAGGTAACTTAACTATAAAGTCTATAGTTATATTCTACTATAGTACTTTAGGTACTAGCATAGGCTATAGGAGTCTATATAGCTTATACCTATTTACTTTGTTTTTAGTATATAAGTTATACTTAGTAACTTCCTCTTATACTAGTTTCTTAAGGTTCTTAATTATGTAGTTACTTAGTATCTTATTTATTATTTTAGTGATACCTAGGTGTCCTCCTCTTAGAGACTTATATACTACTCTTATAAGGTTCCTTATAAGGTGTTCTAGTATAGGTTATCCTTAGTACTTATAGTTGTCTATAATATTTCCTCCTCTATAGTAATCTTTGATAGCTTATATAGTGGGGTGGCTATACTATAGCTAGTAGCTTATTATAAGCTGTCATAAGCTTCTATTAGTATATTTATAAAATACTATTTTCGTTTTATTAGGGATTTTCTTAAAGTAGTTAGGTCTTTAGCTAAGTATATCTACCCTTCTATTTTCTATTCCTTTAATATATATGATTTTAAAGTTATACTCTAATAATATTTTAGCCTACCTGGTTTATTATTTGTTAAGCTCCTTTATTATTATGAAGCTAGTGAGGTTTTTATAGTCTAAGAATATACTGATTAGGTGCTTTACTCTAATAAGGTAGTATTTCTATTCTTTAAAAGCTTCTATAATAGCTATTAGTTCCTTATTAGGGATTCTATATCATACTATAGGTCTATTAAGCTTCTTTAATATAAAGGCTATAGGTCTTAGTTATCCTTTAGGGTCTTATTATCTAAGTTAGGCTCTAATTATATAGTTAGATATATCTATTTTAACTTCAAATAGTTTACTAGGGTCTATGTTATATAGTACTAGCTATTTATAGATACTTTATTTTATTTCCTAGAATATTTCCTACTATTCCTTTCCCTAAATAAACTAGTTCTCATTCTTTATAAGGTCTATTAAGGGTTTTACCCTTTTACTATAGTCATATAGGAATCGTTGGTAGAAGTTAGCGAAGCCTAAGAAGCCTCTTACTTCTATTACTATTTATGGTATAGGCTAGTCTAAGACTACTTATATTTTAGATTCCTATATTTATATTTCACCTAGTTTAATAGTATAGTTAAGGAAGTCTACTTCCTATATATAGAAGAAGCTCTTCTTAGGTTCTACTAGTAACTTAGCTTCCTATAGTTTTTATAGTACCTTCTTAATATGCTCCTTATATTCTTCTAATATATTAGAGAAGATTAGGATATCATCTAGATATACTATAATAAACTAGTTAAGGTGCTCCCTAAGTATATAGTTGATTATTATTTAGAATATAGTAGGTGTGTTAGTTAACCTAAATAGTATGATATAGTATTTATAGTATCTATACCTTATCCTAAATGCTATTTTCTACTTATCTCCTTTCTTGATCCTAATAAGGTTATAGGCTCTTTTTAGGTCTAGGGCTATAAACTATTTTACCTTCCCTAGTCTATCTTATAGCTCTAAGATTAATAGTAGG